AGAAATTCAATAAATACTAATATGTTGTATCAAAGCTTTAGAATATTAATATCAAATATATTACAATACAATATTTTGACAGTATACCAGTACATGTGTTTTGACTAAAAAATTTTCAAACATTTTCCTTGTGTTAAGTATGGTGTAGATACTACTCAAAGGCTATCAAGATACCTATTCCCCATGAAAATAAATGTAAAGTCAGGTTTAACTCATGATTTTATTTTATTTAGGTATGTTTAAGGAAATTACTTGATCATTAGATTGATTTTACCAACTTGACCTTTTTGCACCCAGTGACCTCATTGGCTCATCATTTGACCTAATTTTGAAATATTTTTGTGAAGTACATTTGTGAGGATACTCTAGATGCAAAATAAGTTTGATTCTGATGGGGGCAGAAAAGGGGGTCTGTTGGGACGGTACCTTTCAGAATCTGGATTAGAACTGCTCGAATATCACATCGATTCGTGCATCTGGTAGGTTTTGGAATTTTTGAAAAACAGTATGCATTGACGTTTTCATATCTTTAAATGGTAGCTATAGTTCTAACCCAATGTTTATTTTTTATGTTTATTATGATTCCACGACGGTGGACCTCACTCGACGGTATTTTAATTCACAGCGGACGCTCTTATTATTCGTGACTATCCAACGATGAATAATTAAAACAATGACGCACGAAATAAAATTCCGTATGAATTGATGTCAGTGTGCCATCTTTTCACCGTTTAGAAATGAAACCATCTAACACAAATGAAAAATGAATAATTGAAACAATGGTGAACATACATCTTGAGATATATTTTACAACATTAATTTCTATATTCATGTAAATTGACGTAATGCCCGAGTACACTCTTTGCTCCATTTAGAAATAAACAAATAAATGATGAATAATTTAATCTGAATGATAACGCAGAAACAGTGGTTTCATGCAAACATGTAAAACTTTGTAGAGTTCGATAAGTACTTTCTACGAAAAATAGAGTTCAATAAGTACTTTCAACGAATTTCTAATATGGATATAATTCAAACAAAATACAACTATGCATGGTATTATTCAGATATATACACTGTTGCTCATCAATATGGAATATTTTATAGATATGAAGTGTTCGATGGAATTTCTACAAAATGATAACATTTTGATGAAAATTTGTAATGTGTTCTTATTCCCTCATCAGTTTTGCATATAAAACTGTAATCAGTTGTAATCATTTTGCACACTTTATAAAAAATTAATTTATAGTTGGAAGTGTTTTTAGAAGGCAAGCCCCATAGAATAAGCGAAAAGGAGCATGGCAGGTCATAGGGATGGCGCTCTATGGCATGAAACAAATTGCCATTGCCAGGACCCTAGGGACGTTTCAGGAACAGTCTCTAAAATTCTGCAGTGGTACCAACGGCACTGGAATGTGACTCCAGGTCACAGCAATAGTAGCCATAGAGATAAAAATGTAAGAAAAGACCACCACCTGCTACATTTATGTCATCAAAATCGCTTTACGTCAACCAGTAGTCTACGAAATGAATGGCTGTCTCACCTCAAACACCGTGTTCCAGAGCTATAGACAACCAGTGATTTCTTTATAACGGATGCAAGGCCATGAGACCTTTAAAGAGACCACGGCTGACTGATCATAACAAAGAAACGTGCCTTCAATGGGCAGGAAAGCACCAAAACGTTGGACCTAATCCTTGGTGTCATATGACAGCATGTGAAGAAATAAGATATGTCCTCCCGCACAAAGTTTAGAATTGTATTCGTTTCTGTCGTAGACCAGGGGGAAGAGACAATAAGGACACTTACTGCTGTGGCAGTCCATGAAGGCGACCCTATTTATGTTTGGAGCAGTATTACAGAGGTTGTTTGGAGCAGTACTACAGAAGTTGCACCCCCTTCGTGATTCCCAAACACAATGTCAGAGTAAATTGACCTTTTGGACCTCCATCAAGTACCACATGTAAACAGAGTGTTTTGGGGCAACATTCAACTGCAGAATGATCATGCTGTTGCATATGCCAGTGGCATCGTGTTGGATTACACCAGGGCAGGGAGCAGTACTACAGAAGTTGCACCCCCTTCGTGATTCCCAAACATAATGTCAGAGCAAATTGACCCTTTGGACCTCCATCAAGTACCACATGTAAACCGAGTGTTTTGGGGCAACATTCAACTGCAGAATGATCATGCTGTTGCATATGCCAGTGGCATCGTGTTGGATTACACCAGGGCAGGCAATGTGGACCAGCTACCATGGGCACAAAAGTCAGCCAATCAGGCTAATGCAGAGCAAATGTGGGACGACCTTGGAAATGAGATTCGTGACTTGGACCCCCACCTCAAAATTTAGACACGTTACGCACTGTCCAGATTGAGGAATGGGGCCTTATTTCACTTAGAAAGGTCAGATGTTTCATTCAATGTAGGGTTGATGCTCTGATTGCAGCACAAAGCGGACATAACGCATATAAGTGCTATCATTGGAAAGAGGACACTTCAATCTTCATAACCAGATGTTTATTTTGTTTGATCTGTTTTACATGACAATTTGGATCGGGGTGTTTTGAAAATGCAAAAATTCTTAGCGTACCCCTGTTTGAATAACAGTAATTTTCTAAACTTAAATGTGAATATTTTTTATCTAAAAAATGTTGATTTGTAGATGAAATATGTATTTATGATTTGCATAGAAAATAAATGTCTGAATCAACTCCAAATAAATGTACTCTAACTTAAAAATTTGAATTCTGAGCTGCCAAATCTAATATTCCATATTTATGAGCAACAGTGTAGTTTTTAGCTCACATGGTGAGCTATTGCAATCACTCGCTTGTCTGTCTATCTGTCCGTCTGACCGTCTGTCCGTCCGTCAACAATAGTGGCACGGTTCTAAACCTCTGTCGATTGGATTCCTGTTTTAAGTTATTTCTGTCCAACATCAATATAGGAAACCCCACTATGACTCCTGGCTCAAAAGCTCGCCTATTTTCTGTTTTCAAAATGGCTGCCATTTTTGTCTCACAAAAAGAAACATTTACTCGCTTTATATATAATTTCAGGTGTCCTGCATTGTAAAAAACCATGGCACTGTAAAGAGTAGTTGTATGAAATAATTTTGTTACAAAAAAAATCGGCAAAAAATGTATCATTTTTTTTTATTTCAGCCACTTTAGTTAACATTGATTTGTCCATCTGTCTCTCAGTCCGTCCACAATAGTGGCACGTTTTAGGATTCCCGTTTTATGTTATTTCTGTTCAACGTCCATACAGAAAAAAAACTATGACTCTCAGTTCAAAAGCTCGCCTATTTTCAAAATGGCAGCCATTTTAGTCACAGAAAATTCACGTTTAGTATGGTGCATAGGTCACAGCGTTTTGGAAGATATATACATCTTTGTGGCAATATATGCTTGTTATAAGGTATTATACTTGTAATAGTGTGAGATTTTAGGGATTGCGGAAGTTGTGCCGCTGTGGCCAAGGCCTTGTCGCTGGTTTTACAGATTCGCGTCATACTTGAACTTCTGCTGTTGCTTCCAACCATCCTATAACAATAACTCAAAATGACCATGGATTCTACTCTTTCAAGTTATTCTGCGTTTGGTTAATTTGCATTCTACAATATAGATAACCTGTTGATCTAGCCTTATCCACCTAATACACGCCTAACTATCGACAAGGTACAGTGACAAATATCGTTGTACACTTGAGATGTACCATGTCACTAGTAACTGATTGAAGCAAAAACTATGATGCAGGTGTGATGTAGGTTTTAACGATTAATCTTGGGAATACTTGAAAGATTTCACGTTTTGTGTATTCGCTTTGGAAGACTTTTAGGTTTCTGATTTCGTTAAAAGATTTTCGAGCGATTCTGATTTTTTTCGTACCTAATCTACCCACAAAAATTGATTGGTTGGAAAATGTTGGGTTTTTCACATTTCCTTTGATCATTTTTTCCCCTGTCGCCTAAGAGTGTCGATTATTTTTATACCGTTGTTACAAATGGCGGACATAACCGTCGCTTCCTAAACACATTGGTCACTGTACCTTGTGGTTAGGCGTGTAATATTACGAAGTGATTCGGCATGAAATCAGCTTCATACGTGAGGTTTGTCAGGTAGTGATAAAGACATTCTATCAGTTACAATAAACTGATAATGTCACACATCTTGTAAAACTTGTATATTTTGAATAGAAATAATCTAAACATCTCAGACTGCTTAGAATAACGAAGATTCCTTTTTTCTGGACACTATAGTATCAGAAACATGCTGAAATCGTGACACTGTTTCGCCATCTTTTTGTTGATTTAAATATATATTCCCATTTATTATGCACCTCATTAAAATACTCAAATCTGATTGGTTCTTAGTTGCTTGTAATTTGGCAATACTCTGCTTTTTTCTGAAAACTGCCGGATATTTTTTTAATATCTGACCCTTTCGAGAAAAAGGGTCGGATATTTTTTCAATGTTTTTGCAACATTCCCACTTCAGAGTTTTATTTCTTAATAACTGGAGTACTACTTAAAGCTTACATCTGAAACTGGCGGAAAATAGAAGAAAAAAATGCACTTAATCAATCACAATTACCCTTATCATTCAAAAGTTCGGAAGTCGCCGGAAGAGAAAATAAATAAATGTCAAAATAATGTCAACTAAACGACAGTTTAAGCCTGTACTCCAGTAAGTACTCCACTTAACTTTGATTGGGAGGTGCATAATAAAACAAATACTGGATGATCAGGAGCTGGATATGGCCAGAATACCTATCCTCGAAAAAATATTGGGCTCGGCTGCCGCCTCGCCCAATATTTTTTCTCGAATAGGTATTCTGCCATATCCAGCTCCTGATCATCCAGTATTTGTTTAATACAATGCAGTTGTTTTTTAGGTAATCTCAAAACCACTCTACTATACCTAACCCCTAGAAATGCATATTAAGATACTCTGTGTGTCTAATTGTATTGTTTAGTATATTTTTGAAAGTACCTTATTTAACATTCTGACAGTCACCCAATAAACATTAATAAGGAATAGACAAATAAAAACAAATAACATAATCATTACTAATAAGCCAAATGGGTTGCTCATGAACACCAAATGCAAGGTATAGTGAAAACTGGAAAGTAAGATTTGGAGTGTATGGACCTAAAATACCCCCGTCAAAAACAAACCTGACAAGAAATGTTTGTAATACAATACCAGGTTCTTTCATTTTCTATTATGATTTTATCCACATTGTGTCATAACGGCAACAGCTGGTCATGCACATATTCTTTTACTCCTTTCATATATCAATTGTATATGAATTGTTTTAATTGTAATTTGTACACGTCTGACACTTAAATAAACTTTGTTAAAACTAGAGTAATTATGAATGACCAAACAGAACAAGAAGACGAACTTAAATAGAAATATGGCAGTGAAATTATTATTAATATATGGCAGAATATAATTACAATAACAATTGATACAATACGATCATAAACAGTATGGTTTACGTTTTATAGTAAACCAAAAAATACAAAATGTCAAAATCAACATCGACATAGGGAGAAATATGGAAATTATTATCAAATATGGTGAAGTATTAGATTTTAATTATTTCACTGTTATTTTGGCAAAGAGTTGATTTCCATAACCATTCCACTGGCATCTATTTATATGACCATTGTTATATTGTAGAATGCTATGATAAACGCGGTTGGTTGAAGGAGGGACGCTGAGGTACAGACGCCAACCGACGAAATATCCACACTCCGTTATTATTTTATCCACATTGTGTCATAAGAGGGACGATGAGATACAGACGCAAACCGACGAAATATCCACACTACGTTATCGAGCTAGCCTCGGACATACGAGGAACACGTTGACGGGACAGCAACGGATCCTCTCCTGGCGTTCTCTCCAATATCATATATACAACGGGTATTTATGTACTTTAGTCTCTTCATAACGTCCATGTCAAAGCCTAGAGGCATGTTCATGTTCAGATTATCGGGCCAGAACTTGGAGGCATCAACTATATTCAGGAAGTCTAAGCTTGGCATACCTGAAATATTTTTAATAAATCAGTTATTTATCCTTCGAATTTACCGTCAATATCGGCCATGATTTCTAGTGGGAGGAGCATAAGAATATTTAGAAAGATAAGATGCCAATAAAATTGGAATGACCGATATTAAAGAAACCATAAGATGGGAATAGGCTAAGTTCCCAGTGTACCAATACATTATCTTTCGTATTATGAAAAAAACTCAATTCAATTGGTTTGTAATGACCCAGCTCCGTATAATCGTAGCTGATTGATTAAACCACATTAATAGATCGGAAATAGACCAGCAGATGGCATACAATTATATATCAATTAAAATATAAATTCGATGTGTATTAATCAAATGATAGACGTTGGAAAAGTTGCACGAACTAACGATATACGCCATAGAACTTGTGAGGTCAACTATGAACTATCGCACGTACTATATAAGCATGCGCAGGCGGATCTAATATTCGTTCAGTCAATCAATATGGAATAAATCTACTTACTGATGAGGTCCACGCCGGGTATATGTTCAATGATCTTGTCCAAAAGGAGATTCACTGGAGCCATCAGAATGTCCAGAAAGCCGCTAATCCCATCAAGGATATCCTTCACCGAGAAACAAAGGTCAGGTATGGCGATCTTTAACAGCTGAAAAGAATATTGTCAAACGGTTTAAACTTTTATTTAGAAAAATGTAGAGTAGGCTTGTACAGGCCCCATTTGGATCAACGTTGATAATTACTGTTTATAGTATATGGTGAGCCAAAAAAGGTGTAACGACCATTGGGCACGTCCGTCGGGGAGCTGTAGTGTACCGAGCCAGATACTAGACTCGAAAGAGAGTGTGCTAAATTCAACGCCCAATGCGGGAAACGAACCCAGGGCCTTCCGCTCTCAGAGTCGGACGCTCTACCCCTGAACCATAAAGGCTAGCCACTACAGCTGAGACTGTAGTAGCAACTTGATATTGAAGGTCATTACAAAGGTTACCCAAACAAAAGTTAAAAACTCAAGCATCCAACATGGGTTTAAAATCATATTTGGTACAATTGAACCTTGTTCAATGTTCTTTTATTCTAAGTTCCATTGGTTTATTTCAAATGGCCGTGATTTTATGTCTATTTTACAAAACATCATCGAAATGCCAGTCTCGTCTATGGAGGCTAATTTGAACGCACCGGTGTAAAAGGCTAGTAAGGGCCGTTAAGAAAGGGGACAATAATCCCTGGGGGACAATCATTTCTTTCACACCGGGTGAAGTTGTTCTGACTACATACATATATCTTTAATCATGCTTTTATCTCTTGTTTCAACTCTCAAATGCTGCTCCAAGGGTGTAGCCAGGATTTACCAAGGGGTTCAATTTACCCCGGTGTGAAAGAAATGATGGTCCCCCAGGGATTATGGTGCCCTTTCTTACTGGCCCTGATTGTGTATAAGATAATGAGGGAAAGAGTTGTATTTAGGTCACCATATAAATCAATGGAGAGTTTGATAGAACCTCCTACACTTTTACACCTGCCTTATTTGTGGAGTTTGGGGATTCATGTCGGGTGATTTTCCGCATTTGGAGCATGTTTTTCAAAATGGCCATGTACCATGTATGAAACTTCGTCAAATGCAAGAACACTGAGCAAGGTTCAATTGTACCAAATATGATTTCAAATCCATGTGATTCTTGAATGGTATTGTCTGAGGCCTACCCTTTTTTCAGGATTGAGGCCACTTTCTTGTTCTCCCTCTAATATTCTTTTGACAATATCTAGTTCATCCCTGGACATCTTCTTGAAAGCTTTAGTAAAATCTTCTTCAGTAAGAACCAAGTTTTCCATGACTTCTCTCTTTAACGCCTCGACGTAGCGTTCGATTTCATCGACGTTATTTGGATCCTCGTGTGCCGTCTTTTTATCTATGTTTTCCGTAGTTGGTTCTTCGATTTCGACAACATTTTCTTTCTCTAAATCACGCTGAATTGAACAATGTTTATTCGTTGAAGCATTTAACAAACTACTCAGTTTTTTTTCATTTTAAGTTGCAATATTTGGTATATTTGTCAACACTTTTGGTACAATTAAAGCCCCGAAAAAGTTGGATGACAATGATTTCTGGTGCCATTTAGAACCTCCTATTTTGGAATTATTTTATTTCGATATGAAATTGGCTATTTGTTGCAGTTGATATCTAAACAACGAAATGATAAGAAAATGTATTCCATTGGTTAGTCAATGTATCAATTACCTTTGCTTTGGCCTCCTCAAGAAGTCGCTTGATTCTCTCAAGATCATCATGACTGTACGATGCAAATGCGTCAATCACCTCTTTGTTGACGTTACGCTTACGTCTTTTCCAACCGCCAAGACGAACTCGTCTCACGAATCTGAAATATTACATGAATTCTGCTAACAAATCTTAAAATATACACAAAATAAAAGTAGCCCCAGGGGCCTAGGAAAAAAGTTCATATTTGATAAAATTAACCGAAATTACATTTGTCATATAGAAATCATTTTACAGAAATGAGACTTGATCATAAGAGTTTCCCTTTCCCAAGTTTTAATGAGACATTTTATTAAATAGTTATTACTTTCGAAAACACCAGTGCGCAACGTACTAATCCTGGTCTTAAAGGGATCCAACACCTTACAAAACTTCTTAACGGAGAGGAATAAGGGAAAATGCTTGCCGGATTCTGAATCTGTGTATTTTTTAATGATTTTTCACCGTCTTAGAATTTCAATTATTTTCCTTTGAAAAAATGAGATTTGCATTGTTTTCCAATTAGAAAAATGAGTAAACATGAATAGCTCTAAATCTAACGGTGAGATTTTGTTTTAAAAAATCATGGATATCAAGGCTAAATATAGCTATACAGTAAACATAAAAAGCAATGCTTGGACTCTTCATATTCACACAAAAAAATTAATTAGTAAATGAGGTTTGATATTTGTGAGAATAAGTTGTACGAGGTGCAATGCTCTACAAACACCAGACTACAGGGTGGATTAGGATCAATGACACACATAAAAATTAATTTAAAAATATTTCATGATAATTATCTCAAACAAAAGCAGTTGGCGAAGGATACGTTTCATTACACTCAATAAATAGTTATCACTTTTGACTATACATACATATCTCATGGGAATGTATTTCCATCTGCTCAAGATATTATATTTTAGCTTCGAAAATCACAATCGTTGGATAATACATTTGTCTCAGAATGCTAGGCCACCCTGTAGCAATGTAGCTATCACTTGAAGTGGACCCTTGAGAATAATGAACTTACTTTCAAATTGGTCTTGCTTTTGTGGTGTATGTGGCTTTTTAGCAAATCTGCCACGCTCATTTCTTTCCAGAACCATCATCTTGTTCAAATGTATCACTATACGCGCGTGTATAGACAGATGACATAGATATACATATAAATTATATATTGCACCTGTATTTACTTACATGGGAATATATTCCCTTTGGAAAAATGCAAATGCAAATGCATGAACATATATTTTCATCTTATATATGACTTCAAGCTAACATATTATTTCATATTTATATTTTCATAGTTAGTTTAACATGAATAATAGATCCATGAGAACAATACTCTTTGTTGTTTTTTTAAATTGATGGGTTTACTGTGAATTCAATAAATTACAATTTGCAAGGGGTAAGTATACTGTATGAGCTAGCTAGTGGCTTTGAATTTTATGTTAGGCCAGGGTAATTAAATTAGTTGTTTATCTTTCTTCTATTTTTCAAAATTGATACGGGAATGACGGTTTTTATATTACCTTTTTTGTCTATCTAAAATGCTGATGAGGGACGGGATGATTTTTTTCTTTAAAATAACTGTAAAAACAAATAACTAATTTTGAAGGAAATAACTGAGTTTATGTTGAATTTATATGTTGAATTTAGCCTACGTTACTGGTATATTTGATCATATATCAGTACCACGATATTGTCAATTATCCTGATCCATAAAAAGTAAAAAAAAGTGTTTCACACGCCATGGATGCGCGCGAGGTACGGTGTGTTTTTCTTAGAAATGGCAGAAAAAAGGTGGAGGGGGGATTGGGCCACACGCGGGCAAGAATGAGAAACACCTAATTTAATTACCCTAACCTTAGTTCATCCAGTAGTACGTTTTTACTGCAAAGTAGTGTTTTTATATGCAGCTTAATAGCATAAAATATGTTGAAGGAAGCATATGGTGTGGATTAGTCGTGTGACACACAAACTGACCAATACATGAGGGTATTAGCTACTTTTCACATAAACCAAAGGAGGACAGTGCTTTTATTTCAACTGGGAGCTTACCTCCACACGACTGACCATGTGACCATGGTGGTGGTCCCCTTTAAGAGGTTTTGTACAACTCTCTAATTAGTCTCTGAATGATGCGCATTTTTAAGCAGTGCCGACACTGCATTATTTACATTGGTTACAAAATTTACGTGTTTTTGTTTTTTACTTGGCATTACTGACTATACCTTTTAAATGGGTGCAAATGTTTTCAACCATGGCTCTGCTCACTTTTGTAGTTATAGAATACGTCATACTAAATTCATGATTATCTATTCTGACTCACCGTCCCACGGATCTGACAGCGGACCTGACTGTCCTAACCACAGCCTGTACTGGCTTAGACCTGACAACAGTTGTTGCAGCATTTGCAATCGCATTGGCAGCTTTCTGTCCTAGATTGTAAAAAGCCTTTGCAGCCATCAGGTGATACTTTCCCGTGAGGTAATCGCGGAGACAGAACTTCTTGCTCATCGCAGCGTCAATTTTCTCCAAGAAACCCTTGGCTGGTTTGAATACATTTGTTATCTTGGTGATCGTGTCTGAAAAAACAAGTAAATGGGATGTTTCAAATAAGTCAACTGATACTGTATTGCAGTATGACGGCCACAATGATGAGTGCACCAAATGCACACAAAAATTAAGTTCTTACTATTGTATTGCTCATCGGGTCATTTGTACAAAACATAATCAATGAGGCAAAAATTAATCCGAATCGGTTGCTAAACTACTATTTGCATACTTTGAAAAATAGTTCAACAAACCGTGTACACTCTGTGTCGATTTCACTATTGGATACAAAGCATCTTCGGCTCCTTGGATTCCTCTTAGAGTCATTGCCAAAATTTGCTCCTCTTCAGAGAGTCCCCCTTCTATATATTCACGCTTTAAAGACTCTTCTTCAATCTGCTGCTTCTTATCAGAGTGTCCACTTTCTGTACGTTCCGGTTTCATCAATTCTTCGTCCTGTTGAGCCATCTGGGTCTCCCCTTGGTATCTATCTTCAGTCACGCGCTTTAGGATCTCTCTGTAGCGTTCATACGATTCCATGTCTCTCTCATTAGTATTGTCATTGTCAACGTCGCGCTTCTTACGCACAATGCCAAATGTGTACTGGTCCTTGACGTCCACCCATCTCGAGCAGAACTTTGCAACCACATTCACGACACCAAAGATTGGTTGGATTAAGGGCAAAATTCCGTTCTGGCAGACTTTATCAAGGGAGGCCATTGATGGGTTTGGAAGAAGTTTTACCTGCTCTTCGGCCTCACTAATGTTCTGGAAAGCTGGAAATATGGACGGTATAACAAAGATTTAATATACAATTCATGAATGGCAGGACGTTAACGTACGTTGATAACAAAAGGAGGGAAAACCCCATGATTCAATTGATGACATAAGATTTCCTCCTTCGCGCACCTCCTTTCCCGGAAGTACTGATATTTGTTTACAAAATGGCGACTTTCATAAAGGAAAAAACTGATTTAGTTTTCAACCAATCAACGATCGAATTGCTAAACCAATCAGCGACGGTGTCATCTCAATACAGAATTACATTATAAGCGTATGTCATCATTGAACCCTGGGGTTTCTCCCCCTCTTGTTGATAACGTGAATGCACAGAGAGACCACGTGGATTTATTTTATGTGGGAACAATTTGTTGATATATTTACAGTGTGAATGTACAGCGAAACACGCAATTCCAGTTTTTGAAACTATACACAGCAAGTTAATTGATTGCATATAAACAATTTTAGAATGTTCATCATCTACATATTGACTTTTACTGTAAGGTTATCTCTAAGCAGCGTCTCTACCTACCGAGATAGATATTCTGTCATTCTGAACCCCTTGGAAATGTTTATCATTTCTACATTTACAATAATACATACGACATAAAGACGGTTTAGTTACTGTTAGATAACAAATCTCCGGTCAGTGTCTCTACTCACCAAGATAGCCCGCCATTCTGAAACCTGCTACACCCATCCCGATCTTGAAACAGTTGTCCCCGGCTTTTTCCACTTTATCCCAATAAGGTTTAGTGCGGTCATTGAACCTGTCCATAGTCTGCTGACCTTTCTTTACCTATATTATACAATGTGGCAGAAAAATAACGCAAACCAAATTCAATATTAAGCGCATTATGTCCACCATGACACATATCCGTTGTTTATAACGAATAAAATTTCTTCAGTTAAATATCACGGTGACCAAGTGTTAACAGTGGAGAGTGTCCCGGACGTGATTTCTCAAACGATTTAGACGTGTTTTTGGAAAACTTCAGAGGTAGGTTGATAATTTTAAATGTAAGTAATTAATGAGCATTTTTGTATATAATTGCGAGTACTGTGAAGAATGATGGAATGATCGCCAAAATAGATACGTGGGTATGAAGAAGAACATCTTACGAGGTAGAAGTCAAGTAATGTTAGTTTGTAAAATATAGAATATTCTTACCTTTTGCTCCATTCTAACGAACGTCGTATTCCATGTTCTTACAAAACACGTCTAAATCGTTTGAGAAAACACGTCCGGAACAACTTACATAACGTTTTTGTGAAACGCATCCCAATAAGGGATATTTTTTGTGCAATTTATACGTATAGGAATTGCCGTTTCTATTTTATATGCAAGCTTAAGTCTCTAGTAGTTAAACTTTACGTACCGATGCTCCAACGAATTTGACCATGCGTGATAGAACAGTGAAAAAGGCGCCTATTTTGGGAATCTTTCCCGCCATTTTCAACAATCTCTCCAAATTGTCTATGAATAGAGTTTTCAAGACCCTCATTTGTGTCTCGAGACTTCTAGTGTAGCCGAATAACAGGTATGTCGTCTCTATGGGGGCGCAGACCAGATCAACACAGTCAAATATACCATCGAACGCTCCATAGATTTGCTTCAATGTCTTAATTGCGTCATCTGAAGAGTTTGATGACGTTTCAGTGACACACGAGAGCAGTGTTACGAACGCTAAGAGGAAGCCCAGCGTTCGATACATCTCGGCAAGTTCTAGCACCGTTGCTGTGCTTCCGTTAAAGGCCGGGCAAGAGTTTTTCTCACTTTCAATTGGTTTCTGAAAACAAAAACTCACTTTTAAACTGAATCAGAAAAAATATACCCAGAAAAGACTGGTGAGAAGATGTGTTATGTAAAATGTATAAAACACGAGAAAATTCAGTGAAAAAAATTCTGAATTTTTCACTGAATTTTCCTGTTTTCTAGACATTTTATCAAAACACTCTTCTTCACATTCTTTTCTAGGTACATTAGTATAGTCGTGCAAAAGTGAAAGATGTAGACATTGCGGGGAAGGAGTGATTCAAATTTGAAAAATAACATGCGACTCAATTGAGGGTTGCAGCAAAATTCCGAACATGCACCCTGACCTTAAAATAACCTTTTCAGCCCTTTGAAAATGTGACTGAAAAACAGCTAAAAGTAGGAGCTTAGGAAAGGTCAATGAACAGAATCTTTTTAATTTTTCAGAAAATGTGCCCAATATATTGCACTAAATAATATAATTTTTGAAATTTTGGAAAATTGTCTGAAACAAAAAATAGGAAAATAGATCGCTTTTCAATTCAGTTTTCTTTCACTTTTTCTTTTTCTACGAATGATATCAAATCTTTGTGCAAAACTGAAAGATGTAGACAATGTGGAGAAGGATGGTGTATCCTATTTGAAAAATTAGTACCGTGGGTACTGGGCTCACATGGTGTTGCTCAAAAGTGAAAATAAAAAAGACGGGTATAATTTTTTGCAGATTTTTTGTGACAAAATTATTTCATACAACTACTCTTTACAAAGACATGGCTTTTTACAATGCAGGACACCTGAACTTATTTGTAAAGCTAGGAAATGGGCCAAAAGTGAATTTCCCGAGACAAAAATGGTTGCCATTTTGAAAATAGGCGAGATTTTGAAGCAGGAGTCACAGGTTTTTTTTCTTTATTGATGTTGAACAAAAATATTTTAAATCGGGAATCCTATCTACAGTGTGTCTCAAAAAAATGTTACACTCACGAAAAGTTCAATATCTTTCATAATTTTTATTTTTCCCTAAAATATACTTTGAATACCAAAAGACAAATCTTTCTCGAATAATTTGACACCATCAAATTCAAAATCTGTCATTGATTGGCTCCACATGACAGCTTTTAGTGTCCCATGGTAAAATCTGACTTGCGCCAACTTCTAAGTGATTGGATGGACCAAATGACAAAAGAGTAACAGTTTCTTTAATATTTAACTTTCTTCTGAGTAGAAGCTTGACCTTAAACTGAGTCATTATGTAATTTTCCTATTTGTCTTACAATTGACCATTGGGTCTATCCACATAAACATGTGGTCTCCTCAACATGTTCTCCAAAGCAAATCTGAGGTACACTTGCCCATGCACACATGAATTGTAATATCACTCTGATTCTATCAATTATTTTTGCAGAAGTTCATATAGGTCAGTTTGTCATGCTGTAAACCGCTTTCAGAGGCCCTTCAAAAACTCAAGGGTGTAAAGTGGGATGACCCTGGGGGCCAATCCATTGGGTAATTCAATGCTATCTTCTGATTTCCAAAGATTTCTACCAAACGATCTGCCACAGGCCTTTGAACCATCCTGTTGCCATCATATGATCATACGTAACAAAATTGAACACTGACAATGAAATCTTGTATTTCTATCCAGGAAAGAAACATTAACTGGATCATTGATCATATCAAGATATCACTGTCCACAGCATTCACACCAAAAAAAGAATTGATCACCATATGTCCAGCCACTGAGAAATTGGCGCAAATCAGATTTCACATGCGTCTATAAAATATGTCCTGTGCAGTCAATCTTGGACGAATTTTGAATCTGATGGTGTGACTTTATTCGAGAAAGACTGGTCTTATGGTATCTAAGTATATTTTAGGGGAAAGTCAAAATCATGAAAGATATTGAACTTTTTGTAAGTGTAACATTTTTTTTGAGACACACTGTACAGAGGATTTAAAAAGTGTTGACAGAGGTTTAAAACTTGCCACTATTTTGGACTGACTAAGAGACAGATGGACGAATCAATGTTAACTAAAATGGCTGAAAATAAAAAAAGGATATAATATTTTGCCGATTTTTTGTAACAAAATTATTTCATACAACTACTCTTTACAGTGACATGGCTTTTCACAATGTAGGACACTTGAAATTATTTGTAAAGCTAGGAAATAGGTCAAAAGTGAATTTCGCGAGACAAAAATGGCGGCCATTTTGAAAATAGGCGAGCTTTTGAGCAAGGAGTCATAGGGGAGTTTTCTGTATTGATGTTGAACAGAAATAACTTAAAACAGGAATCCTATCGACAGAGGTTTTAAAACGTGCCACTATTGTTGACGGACAGACAGACGGACGGACGGACAGACAGACGGACAAGTGAGCGATTGCAAAAGCTCACCATGTGAGCTAAAAATAAGATGCGACTCAATTGAGGATTGCAGCAAAATTCCGAACGTGCAGACTAACTAACTTCCCTTTTAAACGCATTTTTTATAACTATGAATTTTAGGTGCATGGGTCCCCAAAGCTAACATTATGACCGTGAAATGAGGCTAATTTTTGAAAATTTGAAGGAGTAGCCTTGCAACAGTAAAACATTTGCAAGAATCCAAAATATCCACAAATCATCTTACCTTACCAAGAAACATCGAGGGAGCATGAAAATGTGCTCTTCTTGCATTGTTAGAGTATGATAAAGCTCAAACCATAGTTTCTGATAAATATTTCATGTCCACCATTTTTCTTGCCGGAACTACTTCTTGACTTCCTGTAATCCTCATATAAGTTTTTGTGACTTCACCAAGTGGCATGGATTATCACTACAGTGCTGATATATAATAATTAAGGGTGCGTTTTCAAACTAAACAGAGTGCTCCTATCAAAATGAATTTGCCTACATACCCCTGAGACTCTTATCTGATAGATAGAATGCACAAATAAATCAAAAGTTTTGCTATTATAGGTAAAAAGTTCTCTTGAAATTTCGGAGTGATTTTACCTGTTAATTCTGTCCATGGTCCGCCATTTTTGCGGAAGTTACACTGAAACGCAAACTCCATGAAACGAAACGAAATCACTAGAAAAAACATGGCACACATTGTGCGCATGTGCAGCAACGTTTAGACCAATCAGATTATTTGATTATTTTGCGCACATTAATTATTTGCTTCCGAGCACTTACAAGCTTACCACAATAAATAAACCTGGCAGAGACTACCCTTAGCCTACTCCATTTTGGCGAAATTTCAGCTCAAACTCGTGACAAATGCATTATAGATACGCTGGTGTGAAGCCTTGGAGACACTCATTTTGGTAAATATGATTTATGGGGTATACTTTTCTGCAGTTTGTGGGAGTTTGGAACATTAAATGTTAAAATTCAAGAAAATATGCCAATTAAACGACTGATCAATTAATATATACCAGCACTGTAGCATAGTTTATACAGTATAATAATCATGATAGATACATAATTGATGTTTTTAAATGCAAACAATGGATACATGAGTGAGGATTATTTTGGACTAGAAAATAGTCCCAGCAAACAAAATGGTGGACATGAAATATTTAGAATTTACTTTGGTTTGAGCTTTATTATACTCTAAAAATGCATGAAGTACACATTTTAATGCTCCTTCAGTGTTCCTTGGTAAGGTAAGATGATTTGTGGAAATTTTGGAGTCTTACAAATGTGTCTCCATTGCAATCCTACTCCTTGAAATTTTAAAAAGTTATCCTCACTTCACTGTCTCCATGCTAGCTTTAGGGACCCATGCACCTCCAATTCATCGTTAAAAAATGCGTTTAAATGTGAAGCTTTCTTTGACATGTCTCTTTAGTCAGGAAATGCATTCACATATAAGGAAAACAGAAAACAAAATCTTGTGACTTTGTCAAAAAATATGCCTGCCATTTTTTGTACTTTTGATTAACTTAAGCGTTACCTTAATTACCGTTGATGAATCGGATTTATTACACATGAAACTAATAATCTGAAATATAAAAATGTTATTTGTGTACAATATGAATATATTTTTCCATATATTCCCCTTGTTTTAGGTTTTACTGACGAAAATAAAACACTGAAATAGACTTTATGCGAGATTCTCACGAGACTATCATTGCAATGGCTACTTTTTTTATTATTACTTTTTTATTCATAGAAAACATTTGATGCTACTTTTAGTAAACCTGGCAAGACGTCAATGGCAACTTCCACACTAAGGCAATACTGGCATTACAAGAACAAAAATATATCCAAAATGTCGCCTTTTCAATTTACAATTTTCTCCCAAGTTTCTCAACAATGTTGGATTATCTACGAATTCATTTCTAATGTACGGACATAAAGGGCATCAAGGATGCTTTCAGGAAAACTAAGGAAATTCACACATTTTTTCATAGCTTTATTTTGTGCCAGAAAATAACATTGGCAGATATAGCAATGTCTCAAATTAGATGTACCTTGAATTGAATACATACAAAACGAAGACTCGTTCTTACCCAAAAGACTGTCGTCTAAAGTTGTTCCATCAGTTGAATCGCCCACCATGTACCAATAGCTCTCAACCGCAGCTCTACTGGTCAGTCTTGTGTGACTACACGTAAATCCACTGTGTTGAAAAGCCCACTGTGAATTGGTATTAGTGTACAGACTATTTATATGGACACAACTGAATGAACACACGAATGCTGTCTTCTTTATATAATTCTTTATGTCACACGCATACATGTGAGTTCACAGGTAAGGCTAATGCCTTGGTCATATTTGCTCCGATTTTCACCACGACGCCCGGCCGATTGAGTATTTTGTTCAAAATTGAATGCAATATTGAACAAAACAGTCAATCGGTCGGACGTCGGTCAATGGATCGGGGCAAATGTGACCCAGGCATTAAGTGTGTTCAATTTGCGTGACGTTATCAAATCAACGGCCACATTTAAGGTATTAGTGTATCAAATAAATGTACGTTTGACAGATTGAGGAATTTTATTTTCAGGAAACATAACTCATTCCATATACCTACAACTTTCAGTTTTGCACAAAGTCTTCCATTTATGTACCTAGAAGAGTGATGAGAATATTTTTTCATAATTATGTATACGAAATGAGAAAATTCAGTGACCTACTTATTTTGTACTTTTGAAAAGTAGGTGACTGAATGTTCTCTTAAAGAAATGAGTTAAATTCCAAACGTACACACTTGCCTAAGGACACTACCCAATTACCTTCCATGTACCTTTCAGTTCATGGGCATTTTTACGATAACTGGTACAGCACTCGTCCAGAAAGCAAGGGGTCGTGGGTTCGATTCCCATTAGGGTGGACTAACTCATTCACATCAGTCCGTAGCGCAGACTTTCATTTTATATTTTGATTAAATGTATTACATTAGTATTATCTTAGAAAAGGTTTAATTTCAAATATGATTATAACATAGAATATGTTTTATCCCATTTAAAAGTAAACAAAAACGATAAATTAGTATAATAGGTGTCTGCGTTTTCTCCTAAAGTGTTGCGAAGAGAAGAACTCACAATTTCACAAATCCATAACTATGACGAAATCCATTTTGTATTATATAACCAACATGCATACATATAATCATGTTTTTACTTTTGTGTAATTTCTTTAAATTTTACTCGTACATAAGAATGTACATGGCTATGTACTGGGAGCATTTTTGAAACCCCAAAGGTAAAGCTCGTGGATCAATAATGATAGGTTGTATACCCTTCTCCCGAAACCCCATGCTCTAAATGTACATCTTCACATATCTGATTCTTTTGGACTCTAAAGGAACAATAATCAGAATCGAGAAAGAACTCTCGGCGGGGTTTGATAAAATAACAACATAGCGCCATATATATGACGATATATGACAACCAAAAAGTGGCAATAAATTAATACAAGTAAACAAAAATATTTACTTCGGTTGAAATCGTATGATTTTGCATAAATCGGATTATCATCCAAAGAAAATTTATTAGTTTTTCTTTGACAATTACATTAACAAGTGAAAGGTGTAAATCGGTTCCTGGGAAAACTTAATGGTATCATCATAATCATTCAAGACTTCAAATGGGCCGAGATAAGCCAGATCAAATATATTTAAACATTACTTGGAATGCATATTGAGCTTGGGTTCCTAGTACACGGGTTTACTAGTCTAGTTATGCCTTGGTCACATTTGCTCCGATTTTCACTACGGCGCCCGGCTGATTGAGTATTTTGTTCAAAATTGAATACAATATCGAACAAATCACTCAATCGGCCGGGCACCGGCCGATGGATCGGAGCATATGTGACCAAGGCATTACAAGATCCTGTGACCCCCAACGTGAAAATTAAACTTTCAATTATTCATAAAAATTATCATTTCAGGAATCGTTTGTTGTTCCTGACATATCTATAGATCATTGTGATCATTATTTTTTTCAAATTTCAGTTGAATCCCATCTCACCTTAACATGGGAATATACACCAATGGCTAATGGCTTGGAATCGGGATGCCACCGTGGGAATAGGTTCAAAATCCTTTTTATCCCAGAAGAACTCAAGTTGATCGAGTCTCAACAAGAAGATCCACGTTGGAGAGTATCGCTTGAATCCAGTTTCAATTTTAAGAAGAAGGTTTCTTAAACCAAAACATTAAAGATTAACTTATGTCTTTTTATCGCACTTTGAAAAAGTGCAACATTGCTTGCGGGCGGGCAGGCGGGCGAGCGGGGTGTCACATAAATCAAATCTTGTCATCAAATCTCGAGGATAACTGCTTACCTTTTCAACTTAAAATATTTAGAGATGCAAGAGCAGTCTAGTGCCAAGATCTGTTAGTATAGGTTTATGGCATGCTGGGTAAATTACTTGGCGGCTATTTTGATTTTTTCAGTAAAGCTTGTCATTACAATTCCATAAAAAACAATAATCAGATCAACTTGAAATGTAAACAGAATCTGATGCAAGGGCAGACTAGTGCCAAGATCTTTTGGCGGTCATTTTGAATTTTTCAGCTTACTCCAAGTTAACAAAATTTTGTTGAAATATCATCTACCAGCTCTCATGAGTTCAAATCTGACCTTAGATTTGAGATTTGACCTTTGCATGACCTTCAGTGACCTTTGAAAGGTCAAAAGTTGATTCTACCGATCCTATCGAGGTCTGAAAAGTGAAAATTTCTAAAAGTTTAAGTTTGGCCAATCCACTCTACATCTACCAGATATAGACCTTATCTGTTTTTGTTTTTCAAATGTTGTATCTATGATACATGTGATCATTTGTTAAGTCGTCCCACAAATGATATCATTTAATTCCATTAAAATTACATGTATATAATTTTAGGCTTGTAATAGTTCTTTTTGACAAAATTAGTGTCAGAATGTTTACCATTAGATTGGTAAAAACTGTATTATGTGACACCACTTCGTGTAGGCCGTTTTGTGTTATCTTTAAACTGATTCATACTTTCTACCATTTTACGATAGACATTTGCGCAAAATCAAGATCAACTCTAGCATAAGCCACAGAGAATTAAATATTGAACTGTCATGGCAGCATTTTGAGATGGTTCGATAAAATGACTAGAACATTTGAACCTATCATATCCACCTTTTGGATTCAAAATACTGAGAGACCAACTCCCCAAAAGATTCCGATCTATTCCTCAATGTCCGTGAATTAAAGCAAACTCGGTTAAGTCAATATAATTCATGATGTAGATTTTGAAATGCCCTTGATGTACATGTATACTTACATGTACATGTAAATATGTAGGGCACTTTGGGGGTGGTCCGTAAATAATGTAAACACCAGGATAATCTAATAAGCGGAGTATAAAGTATTTTCTACTCAGGACTTCATATTCATAGTAATTGTATTTCTGAATTGTATTGAATAGAGGGGAGGACTTTTGGCAGTTTTCGAGCAGGTTTTAATACTTGCTGATAACCAATTGTATATTTCGACTTAACTATTTATTTCATGATGATGTAATACTGACTTTCTTTTCATCACAGCATCCTTCTCAATTGTGAAAAGCTATTTTGAATGTATAAGTTAAGGTCAATGGTCAAGTTTATATGATGATTTCACAATGCTTACTATTTTCTTTGTGCTTTTGACAAACGATGTCATTTTTTATTCCACGAATTCATAATGTTCATATTTAATAAATTATCATCCAAATGTATATAGCTAGGGTAAATAATATTTGGAATTATAATATGTGTTTATTGATTTTTTCGTTTGAAAGTATCTTACAAGAAATATATACTTATCTTACTTTAAACATTTAAAGATACAGTCCTATCCCTCAATTTCATTATATGACATGGTCAAGAGGTTCAAACGCATAACAACCTTGATAGCTTGTTTTCCTTAACTTGAAAAGTTAGTTCTTTAAATTTAACATATTTGACTTGACGTGGTCAGATATAACTCTGTCAAATGTCAATATTTAAGCACAAGAGAAACACTCAACTTAAAGAATTAAATGATTGAGTCTTATTCAATTTAACAATGCGGATTAACCTTAATCGCTTCATGGTTAAGACCCCCTTTATATAAGGTATAATGAATCAGCAATACAATAAATGGATAAAAAACGTCGCTACGAGTCCAATGTTTAAAAGTTGACCATTCTCAGAAATCTCGTGCTGTTACAAATACCAATCCCTTGTCAAATATAAAAAAGACGGGAAAGAGCATAAAAAGTAAATCAAAATGTGTTAAAAACTTCATTTAGACTCTACACACAACTGGCGTTTAGGAACCTCAAAACTAGGATTAACATTTTGGAGATTAATAAACAGACTTAATAAACAAAACAGTGAAATTATAAGCAGTTATGAACGAAGTGATCAAAAAGGACCACTATATCAAAACACCTTGAAGGCTCGAATGTTTAGTAAGGTGTGTCTCAAGTTGTTCAAACATTTGCGCATAGTTACTTCGCGTACAGTTACGCCATCATAAATAGATAATGATATTTATAAGTACAAGATTACGTTAAAATCAACTAGAAACTCTACATACAAAGAAACGATTCAACAAGGAATACTTTACGGATATTTTGTAATTTGACACCGACGATACAACGGAGTAAAACACATTGTGACATTCTATTGAAAAGCACTTAGACGATTTGTTTGTCAGTCATTTAGGCAATACAAAAAGTATTTGGCTTTAATCCTATACATTCCATCAAAGAGAATGTAACATTACCGGAGTGTTATTCGGTCCTCGAATTCTACAAAGGTCTCGTTCATGCCTTGCGACAAACTGTACACGTACACGTGGATATTTTGAGTTTAGGTTCACGAAGGACTTATAAATTGGAAACGTTTGCCCGGAAATGCTTACAATATACGAGTAAATGATATTTACAACTTCATAGACAAGAAACTATTTGCATAACTCGAGGGGAAAGGTTGAGTCTACAAATCTGGACGTCATGACTAAAACTACACAGTTCGCACATATGTCCTTAGCGACAATTTCTGGATGTTTCAATGGCGTTGTAACTGAATAAGGTAAATGGACCTAGGTGTATTTATGTCATTGCTGTGTTATTTGATAATGTATTAACAGTGGAATAGAAACTTGGAATGTAAATATCAGATATACGGGGATAATCTTTGACTTTTAAATTGTGTGACGCACACCTCGAGATCTTTTATTGACCAGCTTTTGAACTGGGAATACTTTCTATTTAGTTTGAAATGTAAATCGTTTATATTGGATAAACAAACACTTGTTGGATCTAAGACACAATTCACTACGTAGTACGGAATTGAGAACACCAGTAAACTAAAAACTGAAAATATTTCAATAGTCTGTTACATCGAATGAAATACATTGTCTTGTTCAAACGCTATAGATTTTACTTTTTATACATACTTTTAATTTCTAGGTGGTGTACGTTCCCATTAAACCACGATGGGGACGTTATATTCACTTAACCATCCAACCCAGATATGAAGAGCAACGACCAAGTACTCAAAATGCAGAATATAAGGGGAATTATGGCTGCCAAAACCCTGCTGAGGCGCAGGGAGGCTCGCAGGCAAGGGTTATACCCAAAGAAAGAAAAAGTCGCAATAAACGTCGGTGGTAAGCTGTTTGAAACATACAGAGATACGCTGAAAAAGATCCCTGACACAAGACTCGCCAGTTTGAATCAAATGGACGAAGGGTATGAATCTGAAAAGGGGATCTATTTCTTTGACAGGAATCCGGAACTATTTCCTTCCATTCTGGATTACTACAGAACAGGGGAGCTTCATTTTCCACCCAACCAGTGTGGCAGAGTTGTGAAGAACGAGTTGGAGTATTGGGGAATTGATGACAACCTCATCTCCAGATGCTGCTGGCGAAGGTATAATATTTATCCAACCTCCAAGCGTACGTCTTTCAAATATGGCATTCGCATCCCGCCCCCATTCCCAACAAGGAGGCATTGAGTTATATAGCCTTCATAGTCTTTGATGACGATAATGATTCCCGGGTGGCTAGGGGTAGGGGGTCTTAGACATGGTTTCTTTGTAGCTATAGTTTTGAATATCAGTTAAGTTAGTTTTAGTAATTTGTTTCCCTCAGACTGACCGTGCCTTAGAATTTTTTTCTCTAAAATCTCTATGGTCTTTATCTTATTGCAATCTGTTTACATACCTAAAGTTTTGCGACTCTAAATAAATGCTACCTCCCGGGGCTACGACCTACAACGGAGATTGTTGCACTCTAGTTACGAACGGCGTATAAGATGGCCAATGATGCATTATTTATCGCGAGTTAAATTAGAACTTCCAAATGAAATGTCACGTTATCCCCTTTATTGTTGCTTGTTATTCACTAACGAAATGGAAAAGTAAAGAATCGTTAACATAATATATTTAAGGTCGGAATTTACTGGTTATTTAATCAGAGAAAGAATCATTTATATTAATATGATTAAAGTGATGAATTGCTTGTTATTTAAAAAGAAAAAGAAATAAAATAAGCACATGTTTAAGGTGGTGAATTCTCCACAAGATTCCATAATTTCCTTCTTTCCTTTTCATTTTACCATTCGATTTGACAGAAAAATATATACCCCCCCCCCCTTCCCTATAAGTTACCACATTAGGAGAGGATACGCAAAAATAAACTAATAAGGAACACGACCTATGCAAACCAACCGATGAATTGAGTGTTTTGGGATCATTCACCCTTACAACTACAATTGCGAGAAGGAGCTTTTAACGTTGAACTTTGGCATTATTTACATTTTAAACTGCGTCATAAGTGGATGTGTTTTTAACTTGTCCTGTTTGATGCTTGAGAACGTCAGAAATTGATCGATTCGTGATATTCCAAACTCAAATACATGTTACCGCATAGGAATTCACGATTAAAAGTGAATATTAACAATTTTGAAATTTCCCTTTTGGATATAAAGAAAGAGGTTGTGAAAGCATTTTGGTCGGTCCTCAAAGTATGTTATTTTATTCAACACTAGACGGCAATGAGGGTTAGTGAATTTGGTATTAGACATTCATTCAAAGCTACGCATTGTCTGAATCATAAACTCATGCATCTAGTCTTGTTCTTCAAGTTTTGTTTTTTGTTACCTTTCGTAACGTCTTTGAAGCGTTCTCTTACATCCAGCCTTGTGTCGACCTCTTACAACTGCTACAGAATAACTACATTGTCTGTTGAGTTGTCACTATTGTTTTTCTTTGTTCCCATGTCAGAAAAACCTACTTTTCAATGTGTTTATAAACGTCAATTGTAATAGTATTGTTAACCTTGAATTTAATGTACATTGTAAAGTAATACTATGAATGGGAACAAATCTTGAATTATATTCGTACGTTTTTCAATATCTTTAAAGTACAAAACCATCGATGAACAAATTAAAGTGAAAGTTAATTTCACGTCTTCAATAAAATGCTTACTCGCTTTATGGTTATTCCTCTTCCCTTAAAAGATTTTGCTATATTATATAGTCTTTAGAATCGAACGATAAAAAAATTAGCGTTTCAGATTTATAGACATTATAAGAAAGGTGTCATCTTTGGTCTATCCATACGAGGAGAAAACCAAGTAAAATTCAACAGAGATCCAACTTTATGAAACCAACCCCTACCTTCACATAACCTAACAGTTGCCTAATACCAAGACCTACACTAATTTGAATTTTTGCTTTTTGAAAAGATTGCATGAAACAGTTTACACTTCTTCCTCCTCTTATTACCTAGAATAAATGCGTAAAGTGTCCCATCTTGCCCCGGTCTCCCCCTACTGAAATTGAATACAGTTTTTTTTCAATATAATGAACCCATGTTTCTCTTGTTTGGACACCAGGATTCTCCCTATAATTTCAAGTAGCCCTTTTGTGTTAAATAAAATGTTGTTTCTATTAACAAGTGCTTTTGTGGTTATTGGTTTATTCATCAGTACACGAATTTGATTATTTGATCAGTTTTATTAGGCTAAATGTTAAATATAAATGAGAGTGTTTATTTTGTTGTTATTCTATGGTCAATTTTGACCCAAAGTACGATTAATGGATCTTTACTTACAAATAGGTACGCTGTGAACACGTTGCTTGTAATAACATTCTCTTTTGAAAATTCTTATACTAGAACATCAAAGCCCTCTTTTCTACTCAGAAAATCTATTAGGACCGTTGCTTGTAATAGTTTCTTAAAGTTTTGATCAAACTTCGCAAAATGAACATTCAAACAAAGCATAATAAAGATTAAAGTGTGTCCCAACATACAACATCGAAAGATCGAAAGGTTTCTTACCGTTGACTCAAGACAAAATATATTTTCAATGACTAAGTCGGGTGGAGCAGCATTGTATATAAAATTGGTGATTTGTGATTCTGGAAAGGAGTGGTAACGATATGGTGAACTTTTTGAACACGCGTTTCTCTTAAACCAGTCATCAAAACATTCTGAAAAGTTTACACATTGTCTATTTAATGGACATCTTTTGGATGGTAACATTTTAATTTGAAATATATGTATATACTTTTCTCTATATTGTTTTAGAAAACACATGAGACACTGCTTTTGTTCTTGGTATCATATGTTCGGAATGAAATGAAACATTTATCCGAACCTCATTGGAACAAAACGACATAAACACAACGTGTTTAGGTCTCTCAATATTGTTACAAAAGAAAGTTTGGTTGATTTTAAAAAAGTTTCTTGTTAATGAAATAAAAGGTTGAACTTAATTTTTTATCTATTTTTTTTTGGGGGGGGGGGTTGTTTTAAGTTTTTGCCTACTTATTGTAAAATCAACCGAAATTTCCTTTGTATAACTATAATATTGAGGTCTAAGTTTAAATGTTGTATATGCTATTTTGTTCCAATAAGATTCAGAAAGGCATTTTATTTCATTCTCAAGAATTGGCCCATGGTAGAAAGGAACAAAAAACAATTGCACTAAAAAACAAAAAATGTTAACAAAAATAGTTATATAAAATACATATAAATAATTTTTGCATTAAATTGTTGCCAATCAATTCAATTCACCATATCGATACCTTTCCTTTACCGACATCGTTTAGAACCTCTCATACAAAGGCCTTAAATATGTGTTTTTGGATTGGGTGGACAGATATAGGTAGTAAATCGCAACTGGGGTTGAATATTTGGAAGGAGAATGAACATTAGCATAAAAACTACTAAACACGATTAAACTACAGATGACACTACTTAGTGTTAGAAAGGATTGGTATCGATATGGAGAACTGAATTCAACAATGTTTTTCTCTTAAACCAATTATTGAAAACATTCTGACTGACAACAATTTAATGCGAAAATAATTTATAGTATATTTTACATAACTGTTTTTGTTAACATTTTTAGTTTTTTAGTGCAATTGTTTTTTGTTCCTTTTTACCATTTCTTTCCGAAGCTTGTTTGAACAAAATAGCATATACAACCTTTTCTTAGACTTCCCAATATTATAGGAGTACAAAGGAAATTTTGGTTGATTTAACAATAATTATTCAAAAAATTAAAACAAAAACCCCCGAAATAGATAAAAAAAACTAAGATAAACCTTTAATTTTATTAACAAGATAAGTAGTTTCCGATGTGTTTTCTAAAACAATATAGAGAAAAGTATACATATCTATTTCAAATTATATTATTACCATTCAAAAGATGACCATTAAATTGACAATGTGTAAAATTTTCAGAATTCTTTGATGACTGGTTTAAGAGAAACGTGTGTTCAAAAAGTTCGCCATATCGATACCCATCCTTTCCAAAACTACAGATAAGCACAAGTTTTTTATAAAAAACACTGCTCCACCTAACTTTATCATTGACATTATATATTGACTCTCTGTCACTACCAATGAACCAATTTATATGAAACTCAAACAGTTTCAAGCAAACTTACTACTCGTGTAAAAGTATGAGCATCCAACTTCTCTTATAAAATTATAAAATCTAGAGACAACGGTAAAAAAACTTTTTGATCGGCCCTTGTAGTAGCCGTGACAGAATAAGTCCCTCTCTTTTTTCTTGATAAACTGTTCCGAACTGCGTGGGTTAATTGACATTATCAGCAAGAAGTTCCTAATTAGCCGACACAGGGGGAAAGCAAACTGCCTAAATTATTTAAATCAGTGTTTTGGGAAATCTTAATTTAGCCAGAGGATTATTTAACAGTTGAAGAAATCAATGCGGCCGTCTAATCAGATGAATTATTCACCTAATTTCTCCAAAACTTGCGGACATTTTTCCTATTGGATTCTATATACACTGGCGAACTCAGGGGGAAGGGGGGGGGGGGCTTTTGTGGGCCCAGAAAAAGTTTTAGGGCCCAAAAAGTTTTTGAGACAAAAATTTTGTAGGGCCTCAAAAAATAGCCCCTTTGGGAATGATTTGGCCATTTTAGGCAAGCGCGGAATTTTTTTCCCAACTCAAACTTTGCCAATTATCAAAGCTCATCAAGAATGGACGATCTTGCACAGGTACTCGTATAAGAGCCTCTATATATGGGCACGGATATAATTCATGAATCCTAGCCACATTAAATGACTTCAGGTCCGTGATATGGGTGAGAATAATTCTAGCAGTCCGATATCAACTTTTCGTTGCAACGTAACTATTTTATTAAGAATGAATGTTACTATTCTCAGCAACTATCATTTAATTGATTATTGATGTGCTATTGATCATTTATTCTAAATGAATAATGTGGCTAGGATTCATGAATTATGTAATATCTTAGAAATGCAAAATTAATTATCCTTGTGATGTTACGTATATTACAATCAATTTACCTTGGCACGTCGCTTGAAGAAGCTGACCGGTGTTTGTACGGGGGTCTGTAATTATGACCCTAAATAACCCTCGAATGTGGTTGATTTATAATTCCGTAACTTTACATCAATAGAGGTCGATACACACGTCTATTTTTGAAATAAATTGCTCGCCCAAGGAGGACGGTCGCGATTTTTTCACTTCAGTTATATATTCAATTGCGAGTTTTGGTTTTCTTTCTAAACAAAAAATTCTAAACAAAAAAAGTGATTGAAATACTAATATAGTTCAAATCTTTTGGATCGCTGATAATGATTTTATAGTCGGTTATTTATAATGTCAATGTTGTAGTCGATCAAGGTCAAGGTCGAATATCGCGTTGGAGGTATGGGAGCGAATCATACTTGTCATCTCTCATTAACACTCATATACGTCATCATGGGCAAGACCTGGTGGACGACCGTCTGTCCGTTGCAATCCTACACACTCCAGTGATTTATTATATGTTTTTAACTTTCTAGAGGGGGGCCAATAATGCTATGTAGCCTCGGCTCCACACAATCTATGTAAATAATTATGTTGAATTATATAGAAATAAATAACAATAACCTATAAAAAAAATCATACTTTACTTATACATACTTATAATTATGGAGTTCAGAAGTTGTTGTGCCCGAAAACAATTATTTCGAATAGATTTTTCAAATGTCGCGACACAAGCTGAAATCAACACCCATTGCGTGTCTACTTCATGAAATATAGATGACTTTTGAGAGATCAGATTACGGTTACAAAAATCATGCAAATGTCATTTTGAACCGTATTTGATTTATTTAGATGTAAAAAATGCAACACAAGTAAATAAATCAATTGAAACTGGATACAGAAAAAAGGAGAGAAGGCATTTAAGGCTATATAATGCACTATTTGGGGTGGTTTTCTTTCGTCAACCTGGTGTTACTTGTGTCATTTTCTACTCACTTTTATTACATTTCTTAAGACTTTTATATCCTATTACAATCGCAATTACATGTATCTTAACCTATCCATACGGGGTGCGACATATTGCACCCGCCAATCTAAAAACGTGGATTTCATCATCTCACGGCGAGGTGTAAAGTAATTAGTTTTTACGTCGTTTGTATCTTAATTTTGTGATTTCTACATTGCAGATATCAGGAATACAAAGAAGAGATAGAGAAGATGGACATTATAGAGAAGGCATTCAACTGGAGCAGTGGGATGGAGCCGGATGAAGACAACTCTTCTGTCACAATAACACCATGGTGGACAATACGTCACAAGATATGGGTCTTCCTAGAGGACCCTAATTCCTCTACAACTGCAAAGGTATGACTTGTTGGATTTACAACGAAAAACTTCCTAATTACATGTGTAGCATGGTCCTTTCTCTTGTCTCATCCCTTTGTTATCAATATCATCCAAAAAATATCGAGAAGAACTAATTCGCCTAGCGTTCTATCATAATCCTAATATATGCACAAAATCTTACTGCCCTCTTTCATGCTTTTAACAATGCTCTTTTTAGGACATTTTTTGAAACCGATGCATTCTTTAGTAGATAGTATAGAAGCGGGAAAGGAATAGCTATGTTGACTGAACCGTCCTTCAACAAGTGTTGAACTGTTTTTTTTTTTCATTTAACATGTATGCCTACATATCTCTAAGACGTTTTAGAAAACAGGTGTAAACTCAATCATATTTCGTAAGACGTCTTGAAAATGGTGGTGTAAACTCAACATGATTTTACTAAAACGTTTTAGCTAAGACGTCTTGAAATGTCGCGTGTAGTGTAAATAGGACTATTAAGAACCCGTTTTTCATGACATTAGCCCAATTTACACTACGCGCAGCATTCCAAGACGTTTTGGCTAAAACGTTTTAGAAAAATTAAGTTGAGTTTACATTGCCATTTTCAAGACGTCTTTGGAAATAAGATCGAGTTTACACCTGTTTTCCTAAAACGTCTTAGAGATATGTAGGTATACATGTAAAATGAAAAAAGCAGTTCAGTACTGGTTGAAGGACGGTTCAGTCAATATAGCTATTCCTTTCCCGCTTCTATACTTTGTACCCGACTTTGTACTAAAGAATGAATCGGTTTCAGAAAAACATGTCCTAAAGACGGCATTGTGAAAGCATGAAAGAGAGCAGGAAGATTTTAGCCTAAATTAGGATTATGATAAATCGCCAGGCAAATAAATTCTTTTCAGTAATTTTGGGATGATATTGGGAACAAGGGATAAGACAAAATAAATGACCATGCGACATATGTAAATGGAAAGTTTCAAATGTTTCGTTCGGCGCAACGCAAAAACCGCCTGTTGCAAAAAACGCCTGCTGCGCGCGCATGCTTTTATACAACGTCAATACCTCTCATATATGTTCTGAAAATAATCATAATATCATGCATGTTTTAGTTCCAAACATCTTCCAACGAAACAAGCTTTATTCAAATACACAGACAAATCGCTTCTATTTAACATACCACATATTGCGAGATAGTCCAAATCCGTCCCTTTGAATAAATCTCGTAAAATATTAAAATTTGAACTAACGAGAGATTTTTTCTTTTTCAGCTGTGGGCCTTCCTCATGTACATTTTCATCATTGCATCAGTGGTTCTGGCCTGCTTAGATACCGAGCCATTTTTCCGTGTAGACGCTGTAACCCCTGGTAACATCACTGGAATTAACAACACAAGACATATCATGTTTGCTACCACCGATACACATTCGGCTATCGTTGTCGCAGATATACTCATGAATGCCTTCTTTACAGTGGAAGTGATATTAAAAATGGTTACCACGCCATCTGTACGAATATTTCTACGCATGTTAACAAGCATCAATGATATTATAAATATAATATGCACGTGGGTGATTTGGATTATTTTCTTTACAATCGGAAAAAATCACAATACTACTATTCAGGATATTGTTTTCTTCCTCTCCATGCTTCGGGTCTTGCGAGTATTTAGGATGCTCAACTTGGCTAAACAATACAGGGCTCTGCACGTGCTATTATTGGCTATCAGATCGAGTTTTAAGGAACTTTTTCTTCTTATCGCTTTAATTTCTATGGGCATGGTCGTTTTTGCTTGTTTGATGTATTACATTGAAATCAACTATGAAACCAGTGATTTTATATCAATTCCCTTTGGGTTTTGGTGGAGTATTATTACCATGACAACAGTTGGATATGGGGATGTGCATCCCCAAACTCCATTAGGATACATGGTAGGAGCTGTTTGTGCCATATGCGGACTTATATGTACAGGACTTCCGATACCAATTATCGGCCATAAATTCAACCAATATTACCAATGTGCTCATTTGGAGCAATCTTTGAAGACGCAACAGAAAAAGGGAAACTATAGAGAATATGTGGATTCTTCTGACGACATGTTCTCTTCTACCGGGAGTCTGAGTCTTCCTCAGATAATACAAGTGGCGCCACCACCTAATAAACGGAAGCGCTCCAAGAGTTCAGGATCTTTAGCAAAAAAAGTTCATTTAAAACCTAGGAAATATTCAGCGTCCGCAGGCGAGAATTCAACATTGCAGGTTTCAAAAGGTATCAAAAGGGCCAATATGCCCCTTATATCAATAGTAAACTCTAGTTTCGAATCATTACGGGACCAAGAAACTCGCCAAGGGGCACTGAGTAGAGCGTCTGAAGTTACAGAAACAACTTTGATTAATTTTAAGGATTCACCATCTAAGAAGAAACAAGTTTCCACGGATAAAGACAAGAACGACACGTTAGATGCCAATGAAAATGCAATAAAAAAATTTGTGGGGACTGGTTCCCCTAAAAATCTTAAAGGAAACCAGGTGAAAAAAACTATTGGTTTGGTGAAAGACAAAATCTTGTCAAAGAGTACGAATCGTTTAAGGAAAATCAGTAATGGCTCAAGAGGAAGTAGAAAAATAACACCACCTAGTCCTAGAAATAACAAAATATCTAGTGAACTTCTCGTTAACAATTCACCTTCTTCGATAAAATCACAACCCAACGGACCTAATTCCTCCAGCGGGACATCACACAAGCCAATATCTAGGAGTGATTCGGCCGGATATGTATCAGGCGGCGATGATGCTAGTGTGCTCACACAAAATGCTCAAAATTCTTCGAATGAATTATTCCCTCCAAAAACTCTACACAATGATGAGAGGATGGATTCTGCACTGAAAAAACCTAACATAGAACTTAAGTCATGGAATGTTATTAGAACTGATTCACCAGTTCCAATGTCTACAAAAAGTAGTCCCTGCAGTTCTCGAAGTAGTTCAATCTCGTTGGTTTCCAGTCACGTGGTCTGCAACGAATCTGAAGAAGTTCCTAAACTTGTCGTGAATTCGATGTCTGCTCAAAACGCATAATCTTCGATGGACATTGAGTCGTCGTTAAATTTGCCAACCATGCTATGCACTGCATGAAAATGTACAATTATGTAAATGTCGACCAAAAATTAAGATAAATTTCCTATATATAATATCGATGAAAAACAAATTCATAAGATTTTGTCAATTGATTTCAATTTTTTGTATGGTCCAAGGATAGAGATTACAGAATGATTATGTGTGTTGACTTTTGTATGATGTTTCATTTACTTGTTATATGACTGTTATCGTAGTATTTCCATTGCGCGTGGATGCTATACAATGAAGTTATCTTATTTGATGAGAGTTACATGTATCAAAAACAGAAAACGACCCAATAACAAAATCAGGGTTAAATTGAAACATTTTGTTATATCATATAAAAAGATTATATCTATTTTCATAGTTATGTTATTTATACACCAATTGTGTTTGTTATCTACTGTGACCAAAAGCAAGAACAAATAGATTATGTACAAAATACTGTACTAAGCTTGAATTCGCGAACGCAACTAACGCCTATCGGCTACCAGATTTACCTACTATTTTATGACTAACTCATTTAAATATGAATGGAACAGTGGCAGGTAATATTCACATTTGAGTGAGTTGCACATAAAATAGTAGGTTAATCCGGTAGCCGACGGGCGTTAGTTGCATTCGCGAATACAAGGTAAGTCTATGTTAGTGCAACAGTGACCACATGTTAGACCATGGAAGATGCACATGACTGTATGTTAAGCTGATAGTGACAACAGGTAGCTTAGACCATGGAAGATGCATATGACTGTATGTTAAGTTGATAGTGACAACAGGTAGTTAAGACCATGGAAGATGCATATGACTGTATGTTAAGTTGATAGTGACAACAGGTAGCTTAGACCATGGAAGATACACATGACTGTATATTAAGCTGATAATGACAACAGGTAGCTTAGACCATGGAAGATGCATATGACTGTAAGTTAAGTTGATAATGACAACGGGTAGTTAAGACCATGGAAGATGCACATGACTGTATGTTAAGTTGATAGTAACAACAGATAGCTTAAAACATGGAAGATGCACATGACTGTATATTAAGCTGATAGTGACAACAGGTAGCTTAGACCATGGAAGATGCATATGACTGTATGTTAAGTTGATAGTCACAACGGGTAGTTAAGACCATGGAAGATGCGCATGGCTGTATATTAAGCTGATAGTGACAACAGGTAGCTTAGACCATGGAAGATGCATATGACTGTATGTTAAGTTGATAGTCACAACGGGTAGTTAAGACCATGGAAGATGCACATGACTGTATATTAAGCTGATAGTGACAACAGGTAGCTTAGACCATGGAAGATGCATATGACTGTATATTAAGCTGATAGTGACAACATGTAGTTTAGACCATGGAAGATGCATATGACTGTATGTTAAGTTGATAGTGACAACGGGTAGTTAAGACCATGGAAGATGCACGTGACTGTATGTTAAGTTGATAGTGACAACATGTAGCTTAGAACATGGAAGATGCACATGACTGTATATTAAGCTGATAGTGACAACATGTAGCTTAGACCATGGAAGATGCACATGACTGTATGTTAAGTTGATAGTGACAACAAGTAGCTTAGACCATGGAAGATGCACATGACTGTATGTTAAGTTGATAGTGACAACAGGTAGCTTAGACCATGGAAGGTGCACATGGCTGTTTGTTAAGTTGACAGTGACCAAAGGTAGCTTAGACCAATGGACGATACACAGGTTCAACTGTATGTTGGCGTTACAGAACCATAGCAAAGAGGTCTTAGACGAATGGATGAAACACAAAATTGTATGCAAGTGTGACAACGACTAAAGGTGGCTTAATTGTGTGACATCATTTATAGAAACCATTTAAACTTCAAAAATACAATACAATACTACATTTCAGTATCTGTTTCTTATATTTTTATAAAATGGGAAGTTTGCATATTTTGAAAAAAATTGATTAACATTCTATTGTTGATTGTTCAAAAAGTATGATTTTGAAAACAATTTCGCACTACAAAAAGTACCATAAAGATTAGATGCCCATATTGGCCAAATCTTAATTTTTCAAAGTTTCTGATTCAATCTCATTACTTTTAATGGTATTGTCCACAATTTTGTGATATGTGTGAAGGGATTTAAACACGACACAGAATAAATTGTTGGTGATTTAATGCACTCTTATTGCGTATTCTGCCAGTCGTGTTTCGCCCTCAATCAAAGGCTCATACAATTCCCTCGTATCTGACATCCCCGAGTTGAAATCGTCCACCATTCATTGGCCCTGGGTTTAATAATATTCTACCTGAATTAAAAGAACCATGTAAGTGAATGCTATATAGATGTAAAAGGTGCATTTTGTCTATGAACCAATGCTTTATCCCTCAGCTCTTTTTCACTCTGGATTGGTAGATACCCCAATTCTTTGTACAATGAATAACACACCGGATCGACTGATTTCACTAAATTATATGATATTGTCTTCTTCCAGGCATATGCTGTTGCATTTGAATCGCGTCTTTTTGTTCCGTATTGATTTTCTGCGGCACCTTTATTCAACGTTCTGCCAGCAACAAAACTATTTATCTCATTTGTGTACTCCATTTGAAGATACCTATAAATATTACTTGTGGTTTCTTGAGGATGTTCAGCCAAGTCTTCGTATCTAAGTTGAAGGATGGAGTCTGGGAAAATTTCTTTAATTTGTTTGAATATTAGTACATCTTTGTGCATTCTCTTACATAATGTATTCGCCTCTGCAGTGAGCTGATCCATATTGAGATGAGCCGAAGTCTTTCTCGAATTCAGCATCCCTCTTGGATCACGAACTAAATGAATGACCTTGACCTTTGACGCACATTTTCTGTATTTGCTCAATAGATGGCCTATGGATTCCATGGTTGATCGTACAGTTTTTGAGACTATGATCTGAAAATGTAAGAGATCCATATACATAATGAAATCAAATTGAGTGGCATTCCAAAATGGTTCAATCGTAAAATTATTATTACTTTCCTTACTTTACACGACGAGAACGTCATTTAATGATGTCTCTAATTAAATAGCAAGCTAACGAACTAAAGAGAACTCAAGATCACATATTACAACCTTACCGTTTTTGCATTGCATGCTTTTCTGGATAAATGAATACATTGAGAGATGTTTTCCTTCTTCGAATAACATTCTGCAATACGTCTGATGTTGGCACTTTTGATAGCCAAATACCCATCTTGCATTATGGGAAGGTCCTTTGGAAATTTGTCGAGTTCGCATCTCATAACGTGACCGATAATGTTAGAGACATATTTGTATCTTTCAAATGTATCCAGTTCTCTAGGATACGGCCATTTGCTGAAATAGAGAAATAGCTACAAAATGAAGGATTTAATACGGGGACATTTACCAAGATATGAATATATTTTAAAAATACATGCCTTATATTTTTAAAAACACAAAATGCTCAATAGTTGAAAACATATCCTTAGAAATCAAATTGCACTAAACATGTTATCATATTTGATTGATAAATAATTAATTAACTCATTAAAATGAGCTGTATACCGGGATAAAATGAAATGAAAACATTTACAACGAAATAATTACAACTGTAATTATGATTCAAGTTCATACCATCCATACCATACCTATTTGAAATTTGAAATTAAATTATCTAAATAGGTAAAACAATCCCATTGGTAAAACATGTTGGTAAACTGTATATAAATTGTAAAATACCATTAAATCCCTTATTAACTGGGAACAAACATGGCCATATACATGTAGTTTAAATACAGGTTATGATATATATGCACACGTACCTATGCTTGGGCCTAAACGGCTCATAAAAATAGAAAACTTCTTTGTCATTGTTGAAAATATCTCCTAAAAATGTTGATCCTGTTCGTTCATACGCAAATATAATCACCAATTTATGTCGAAGTGTGCCACATAATGATTCAGATGCGTCCCTGTGTGTCAATTTGATGTTAGACGTGTCTCGATACATAATACTATGTTTGATTTTAAAAATGAGGCATGCAGCTCCTAGTATGACCAATAAGACTTTTATAACGGGATCCATTAGTGTTATCCGGTTTCTGATGAATCTTATATTATCCCTTCATTTGTTTAGTTAGAATTTATTTTGAAATAAAACTGCTAAAGTCAAATATCACAATCCTTTTGAGTAACATAGTATTCAATATATCAATTTAGAACATCTCGTTCTACATAACTATATCCACTGCACGTCCTAAATTGATGCAATATTAGTGGTTCAGTACTTAAATACATGTATCTGGTATTGTTTTAGTGTTTATTGGACAGTGCTTCCAGTCGTATATGCGTTTCAATCGTGTTTCTCATATTAAACAATCAGACCAACCATAATTATACATTCATAATGTTTCATATAAAGGTAATAGTCTAGATGAAAACAAAGCATTTATCACTGAACCTTGTTTTGGAGTATATACAACGTTTTATTGCATTTTTGATAGTTAGATATGTCCTGGTCAAAAAGCCACAAATATGCAGTTGTGGTAGGTTGAGCGTTTTTTTCTATTGTCTTTTTAAAATAAATAATATTTCTGAAAGGGGGCGTGGCACATTTGGTAGTCTTCATGTATTTAAATGGAGTTAAATATCCCTTATCAGTTATTTTTGTTTAATTTATGACTTGCAATATACATATCTACCTGTGAACATTCTCTCTCTGAAAAAATACAGTAATTATGCCATTAAAATTAATATAAGTCAACACTACCGGAACAATGTAAACTAAGTGCAGTAACGATTGTCTAATTCTTATAACGGGTTCACCTTTGGTAGAACAGAGATTTGGTATCATTGTAAAGCTAAGAATATAAATGTGTTACAAGTGGAGTTAATTTCACTTGAATAACATAACCCTAAACTAGAGTAGAATAAATACGATCTAGTATTTCAATTATGAGTATAGGGGTAAAAGAAGTGTATAACGACTGTGTTTTTATGCATATTGATTAGCTTACTAATTAACATATAAATTTTAATTCCTTTTTTACATCAACTCAATTTGATCATTTGTGCAATATAATACATATGATATCAGTATTAGCTTGTATTCGCGAATGCAACTAACGCCGTCGGCTACCGGATTAACCTACTATTTTATGGGCAACTCATTTAAATATGAATAGAAGGTTAATCCGGTAGTTGCTAGCTGTTAGTTGCATTCACAAATGCAAGCTTATATTTTACACTTACTTCAAAAGGTAGTAAATTGTCACCTGCTATAACTGAACCTAAACATATACAAGTATTTCATAACTTCAAAATATTTTCAAAACAATAACCTTTAACATGTAATGCATGTAATAGCAGATAGAGTTTGCTTATAAAATCTTATATTTTACTTTATTCAACTAAAATTATTTAATGTTCCTTCATTTATTTTTTTTAATTGTAATATGTAATCCAGTTCATTCTGACACTAATCTTATTTTAATTAAGATTTAAATTTTAAAAATACACTTCATTATAGAATATTGATTCCAAAAGATACCCAATTTCGTCATTGTGAATTCATATCATTCAGACTTGAATTAAATGGCCAATTAGTATTACTGTAATATTCTGAAGAAATGCTCCTAGACACCCTGCTCTAGTTATAGATACGAACAGGACTAATAAACAACAAATGAACACTGTAAATAGTTCGATCAATTCATTTATTTGCGATAACCCTTGTGGCATTTTGTCTTGTTAATGTTGCAAGATTATCTTTTAATGTAAAGTTGGGATTTATCTTTGTTACTAGTTTGTCCATATGAGTCAAAACTCAGCACGATTAAATATTGATCATAAAAGAGTATACCGTTTCTACTTTTCTCATTTATTAAATTGTAATGTAATCTATTTCATTCTGACACTAATCCTAATTTATTTAAGATTTAAATTCTAAAAATACACTTCATTATAAAATATTGATTCTAAAAGATACATTGTTGCTTCATTGTGAATTAGTAACTTTTCAGAAAAAAAACTATTATCAAGAATCGAATTAAATGGGCAAATACTATGTTTTACATGAACATGGTTACATGAACACAGTAAATGGTTAAATCCATTCTGATACTCATCACATATTTCTGCCTTCAATGATAAATATAAAGGCCATGAATTTTTGACAGGGTGTTCGCATGTATCACAATATGCCCATATATGGGACAGAATATCGGTGTTGCACTCTGGGATCCAATCCTCCTTGAGCATTTAGCGCATACTGGTAGAATTCATGCATTCAGTTTCTAGTGCCTTCATTTCTGCTACATGCAAGTAGAACAATGCACCTGACAGATGCCATATCCCACAAACTCCCCCCCCCCACTTATCATCCTCCTAAGCAGGTGTACAGAATCCGTACCTCCTTCTTCCCCCTGCTATAACCAATTTGGGAGCGCCCGATTAAACTGAATCATGTGATCTAATTGTGCGCAATGACTTATACATGATTTCTGTTGCGACAGCCAATCAGATTGCGAGTTCTTAATCGGGAAAATACTAACTGCTTATCGCAGGGGGTAAAAAGAAAGAATATATTCTGGATTTTGAAGCCCTGTGATCAGGGGATGCCACATATAGAATCTTGATTAGAGTCCATTTCACTGCTTCATTTCGTCAGTAGAACGGCAAAAATAAGAAATTGGGAGACCATTGTGCAATAATATATGGAAAAGTATATTCATAATGTACATGAATGACATTTGTATATCTTGGATTGCTTCTAGTTTGGCTTATAAAGTGTGTGGCCTCTTATATTTGGATGTTTCTCTGCCATGTTATTTTCAATAAGATTAACATGGCTGAAATTCTTCAAATTACAAGACGGCACAGGCTTATTGCACAAAAAACTAAAAAATCTGGAATAAACAAATGTCATTCATGTACATTATGAATATACTTTTCCATATATTATTGCACAATGGTCTCCCAATTTCTTGTTTTTGCCGTTCTACTGACGAAATGAAGCAGTGAAATGGACTCTAGTAAAGCTAGGATGTTCAAACTTTCCCCAAATATACTTTATTCATTGATCTAGTTTTACTTCTATGATGGTGTAATAAGTTTTACAACTAAAATCACTAAAACCATGTAAAAGCAAGTATATAAGTTCTTAAAACTAGTTTCTTAAAATCCCTACTTATGGAATATTACAAATTCTGCTGACCTTGCAGAAAAAATTGCTCAAGGTAACATTACTGCATATTTGTCAAATCTCAATCAGAACACATCAGACCAACATATTATGCAATAAAACATTGTATATACTCCAAAACAACCCCCTCTTGGCTTTCTTCTAGACTATAATGATACTTTAATTATAAAACTTGAAAATGTTTTTTAATGATATTAATGTTATTTTAGTAATATATATGTAAATCTGCTGTAAGACGAAAATAAATAAGTTAAATAAAAATATAAAACTTGACAACAGCACAGCTATGGGTTATTGATATTATTGCAAGTGTCTATGTGTCCTTTCCGTCAATTTGTCCGTCCGCTTTAATCTGTCCACTGTGGGGTTGTATAGATCACTTATGCACACAATATGAGTACAAATTTACCAAATGAGGTCATTTCTTACCAAAGTTTATATGCATTGTCTGTGCGGCCTCTGGCATGTTCATTAAGAGCTAATTTTTCTATCTACAGGGTGCTTCGTATTCCTCCTCAAAATCATATATACATGTATGTCTCACAAACAAGTGTTATACATCATTCTAAAGATCATTCAATTCAGGGTTACTTAACTGCAAAATATCAACAACAACATAGTCAAAATATTATGACAAATCAAGTCACATATAATAGGGTTTGCCTCAGATGTTGCGCCAATTTGAATATTTTCCTAAAAATCTTGGAAAGTGGAAATTAAAATCTTTCCTCGATAAGTATAAAACAAATTGTCCTGTTGAGAATATAGCACAACTAAATCAATTGACAAATTATTAGGACTGTACCTTTAATAAATTGTTTAATAAATTGATTACAGATATAAATTGAAAATTACAGTTAAGTTAACTCTTTTTAAATGTTAACCAATTAGCACAGCACCCTATCATTGTTATCATCATAAAATATATTCCTTTGAGGCATATTTGATAGCATAATTATTTGCATAATAACATTTTTAACACTATCATGTAGTTGATACATGCTGTCGGGCATTCAAAACACAGATAAAGTCCGGGTAAATGAAATACCGCGTGTACCTTTTTATAGCCTTTTGAATAGTTTGATCTTAATGAGGTTCTGACACTCATAACATCCAGGCATGTCTGGGAGATTTTAAATTCAGATATATTTAACAGCACTACAATCATTTATCTATCTATTTATTTATTTATTTATTTATTCATTTATCTATTTATTTATTTATTTATTTATTTATTTCATATCCAACTTTAAGTGGGTTTGTTAGGTAAATGAAATTCCCCGAACACAGGGGGCTCTCGGACTCTGGGAAGAGAGATTTTTTGTAAAATCTATTTATTTCTTAACATATGTACAACATGTATGCATTATATTAAATAATTACAGTTACAATACAGAGTTAAAAACTATTTGCATTTAATTAAAAAATTTCAATAAATGTACCACTCTCTTAAGAATTAGGTTTTCATAATATATCTCTTTTCCTGTTGGTTTTACACCTAGACGTTCCAAAATGTTACATTCATTTCCAATCCAAATAGGTTCAATTTTTTACAACTAACAAAAATGGGCCATATTGTCATTTTCATCACAGAATTTACATTTGTCACTATTCATTATGTTATATCTTTTAAGTATGCCCCCGTGGGGGTAGATTTTATGGAGTATCTTCCATGTAATTCCAAGAGAACGGTTTCTCTACGTTTATAAAGTGAGAGATGATATTCTGAATGTTGTAAAGCTGCGGTTAGAGAATGGGTAAATGAACAATCGTTGTTATGTTATTGTTTAAGGAAATCCAAATGAAGTGTTTGATGATGATGACAAAGACAATATTTCCTCATTTTCACTCAAATGTTCCCACTTCAAAACATGACAGTTACGATTATACACGATATACTAAAGTATATATTTAAAAAGTACTTCCTGGCTATGAGGAAAGGTGCAAGAGAATGATGCGAATGGTCAAACGAAGATTAAACCATTTGAAAGTCAGTTAGCGAAACTGTTGGAAGGTTTCCCATGGATCGGTACCAAATAAAAACTTAGTGGTTTCGATGAACAGTAGTTTTAGACATATTTGTTTGCCCTCTTTTAGTACTTTCTCATGATCAAAGCTAGACACACTAATTTCATCAAAACTGCTAAATTGTTTGAATTTGTAAGTGACCTTGTTGGCATACCATCAACAAATATACTATATTGAACATGTCATTGAGTGACACATGCTTTTATGCACTTTGAAACGCATCACAGCAGCTGTCTATTCTCTCTTAAAAAGTTCTCTACTGCTTGCTTGCTTTTTAGTACTTTCTCATGATCAGACCGATCAAAGCTAGACACACTAATTACATCAAACTGCTAAATTGTTCGAATTGTAAGCGACCTTGTTGGCATACCATCTACAAATATTCTACATTGAAAATATCATTAAGTGACACGAAAAATGCTTTTATGCATTTCAAAACTCATCCAGCAGCTGTCTATTCTCTCTGAAAAAGTTTTCTACTGCTTGTTTGTCTTCTAGTACTTTCTCATGATCAGACTGATCAACGCTAGACACACTAATTTCATCAAAACTGCTAAATTGTTCGAATTGTAAGCGACCTTGTTGGCATACCATCTACATATATTCTACATTGAAAATATTGTTAAGTGACACAAAAAATGTTTTTATGCACTTTAAAACGCATCCAGCAGCTGTGTATTCTCTCTTAAAAAGTTCTCTACTGCCTGTTCGTCTTCTTCATTCTGAGGCATCGTGTATTGACTGCCTCCCTGCTCTTCAATATGTGGTCTAGGCTCTCCAAGGGCATCGCATAACTTCCTCCAGAACACGGCTTGTCTGTCGACATAATCACTCCACTCAAGATACACACGGGTATCCAGAAGAGATTGCAATGTAGGAGTGATTAATTCTTTCGGAATGACATTTATTGGCTCCTTCAGAATGAGGACTAAGCAATCGCGCCCCCTATTGGCCAATTCTCCTCTAGCGATGTTCATTTCATAAGTGCACCATTTGCTGCGTAGAAAGTTCTGGGTGATAATAAGAATGACTTTGTTGCTTCGGTTGATGGCGTCAAGAATTATATCAGAGATATAAGCACCTGGTCTGAAGTTGCGATCATCAATGCATATTTTGTAATGGTGAACACCAACGAGAGTCGCATACAATGCCTCCTGCCCCCATGTTTTATCCAGAGAATTGTAGCTTATGAAAGCATCAAAGTCATACTCGTTGTTTTCTTTGCCATGGTGCCTCAGAGCGGCTCTTAGCTGGAGGTACAGATAGTGTAGTTTATATCGACGTCTGTATACCAGGAACGCTAGGCACCCAAACACCAACATGAATCCACTCGGAATAGTCCCAGCCAGAATCACGGGTTTCCAACAGGAGAATTTCAATGCAGCCAAGTCAATGGTGTGCATTTTAACAGTGGAATCATTGAAGTACGTGCATTGTAATTCCTCCCACTGCATTATGTTCTTGCTGTTTTCCTGCATCCAGGCTATGAAGTCAATCGAGTTGCATCCACAGATAAGGGGGTTTCCTTGCAGATCAACTCGAACCGTGACGTTCGAGTCTTTGTTCTGCCTCCCAATGATTCGTTGTATATTTTCTGGTAAAGATTGGAGCTCATTATCAGCAATGTTCAAGCTTTCCAAGTGCAACGCTGATTCAAGGTCAATGTTGAATTTTTTGAGTTTGTTTCCATTCAAATGTATTGTTCTCAGCTGACTGGAGTTCCTGAACATAATGAAAGGCATCGTTGCCATTTTATTGTAGGACAAATCTATCTTACGAAGTCGGGGGCAATTAACAAACATCTCATACGTTGCATTTAACGTATGGTCTCTCATATTCATGGAATTGCCTGAAATCAACAATTCCTCAATGGATTCAAACGCTCCGTTGTGACAGGAAATTGTATTGGGATATATTTCAGAACCCATATTATCTGCATAAAGATCTGTGAGATGAACAAGACCATGGATAGGGCCTAATTTTCCGAACAATTTCATACTGGCAAAATCCAGTACTCGAATTGAATTGTTCCTGTTCAAGTTCAACCCATAGGAAAAGCTATATCGACCTCTGCTTAGTGTAGAGAAGGAAAAATGCATTTCCTCAATATTTCTCGGAATATCGATAGTCCGATTTGCCTTTTTTTCGGGAAAGACTTCGTGGTTTTCCGTGGAATTAGAATTACGTGAATTACCAGTCAATCGGATAATTTCTAACTTAGTTAAACTAAAAAGTAAAGTTATAAGATTTCCATAGTCGATTTCCATTTGCAAACTGTTGGCTGAAAGATCAATTTCCTCGATATAAGGTAGATATTCAAATGATTCAGTGTCGATATCAACAACTCTAGAATTAAAAAGCGAAAAGTACTTCATTGGTGAATTCTGCAAGAAGATCGTGTCATTTTTTTAAATAAATAACGGGCTGTGAGAAATCCCATCGAATGTTATTTTTTCTATTGTGGAGTTTTCCAGTCCCTTTAATGTGTTCAACCACGCTTTCGAAACCTGCCTGTCTATCCTATGGTTACTCGAGGCTCCATAGCCCCTCGTGATTATTTCCTTTATATTCGGCAGAAGACTAAATACGTACGGGTCTAATTTATCAGCCTCGTATCCATTATATCCCATATCGATGTATTCTAATTTATTTAATCCAACAAATGTCACATTTTTTAAAGCAGCAATGTCATTAGACTGAATATCAAGTTTTCTCAAGTCTTTATAAAGCATCCCTAGTTCGTTATCCTTTAATTCTCGCAGTCCACATCCATATAGATTGAGCTGAGTTATGTTTGCTGGAAAATCTTTGGGAAGATATTTCAGTTTCTTATTGGAGCAATCTACTGATCTTTCCTCATAGTGACACGTACATATGCTACAACCTCTATCCTGATCCGAGGGATACATCCCCAAGACGTTACCATGGTGAACTGCTAAGGTGAAACAAAACAGAAAGAGTTCCATCTTGCTATTGGTATATCCCCAAGACGTTACCATTGTGAACTGCTAAGGTGAAACAAATCAGAAAGAGTTCCATCTTGCTATTGGTATATCCCCAAGACGTTACCATCGTGAACTGCTAACGAAAAAGTGAAACAAATCAGAAAGAGTTCAATCTTGCTATTGGTATATCCCCAAAACGTTACCATGATACCTCTAGATTATTCGACTGACCATTTTTCAAATCTGTAGTGTGGTTTAAATGTATAGGTTTATTAACATGTTGATAAAGTAGGAAGAGATGCTGTAATTGAGATACTTCCAATGAGGAATATTTTGTTATTGATCAGGAACTTCCCCATCGATTGAACGGAAATCTACACCCGGTACTAATTGAGCGTTTATTGAACGATATAAACCAATGGTACCCCATATCACACCAAACTAGTCTCAACCGTTCTTTCCAGTCCTACAAAAAGTCATAGAACGGGCTAAATGTGACTTTGGTCGGGAAATATGTCTGAAATAATTAGCTACTTTATTCATCTTATTTGCAGTTCGTTCAGCTAGCAGGTCATCTCGTTTTAAGTACGTTGTCATAAGATCTAATTACAGAACTGTATGGTCGCAAACGAATTTTGATATGATTCAAAATTCTAAATCACCTTCCCGTCCAAGCTAGTCCATGAAGTTCGTAAATAGACGTACCGTAGAAAGCTGCAGCTACATGTGAGCTCATTCTGTTTGCTTTGTACACAGTTTAAAACAAGTTAGGCAACGATTTGAAAAAACGCAATGGCAACTACTAGTAGTTGTTTGGTGTGATAGCTATATTTTTGCTGTCGTTCTTAAGCAGTCTTTAATACGCCCTTAATCAGTTTAAACCTGTTTGCAAATAGTTCCACTTCGTTCTTAATACATTCAGATCAGACAGCTCAACTCGTTCTAAAAAGGCCTCTAGTATGACTAAAGTGTTCCATTCGTACTACGCCCAGCTCGTCTTAAGTACGCTGTCACTCGTTCTGATTGCAGAACGTGACGATCACCAGAACATTTTGAGCTTGCTCTAAGATCTGGAGGACCTACCCGTTGGGATACGTCGATGAAGTTTTTAAATAGACCCTAAACGGTTCTAAGTACGTCCAATCCATTGGTACACAATTAAGGCGCATTTTCGAGAACGTCGTGCGAACTAGTTTGGTGTGATTGTAGGGTAACCCTACCAAATGTTCTCGAAAACGGGCTTCAACTGTGTACGAACGGACTGAACGTACTTAGAACCATTTTGGGTGTATTTACAAACTTCATTGAACGTACTCGGACAGGTAGTGATTTGAGAATTTTGAATGATGGCCACCATACCATTCTGTAATGAGATTTGTGAGACAACGTACTTCAAACGAGATGACCTACTAGACCAGGAACGTAATTGCCGTACTTCAACCAAAGCTACTAGGGACGCGATATACAACGTTGTGCAATCGGATATCAATTGCAATATTTGTGCACACTGACATGGTCGTTTATGTGTTACTAGGTGGCCGATGCCAAACAACACATTGCATACACTGTAGATGTTTTCATCTTCTTATAGCGCATTATCAGACTATTGGCCATGAAGGCTAGGGGGTATATTGTCATAATGTCATTCTACAAACTGTTCCAATTTATTTTCAAAGCTTTTATATCTTAACTTCCTGAACACCTTGTATATCTCATTGAATTTAAAACCACGATGAGGCTATTGATCTCAAAAACATTACGAAAATCGGAACACCCCCACTCAAAAGCTATCAAAATCACCACACACAACCAGTTGTATCTGTTTATTAATTAATCACCATTTCATCATCATCTGACAGAAACGGTTTATTCAATAAGAATAACATTTAGCTTCTCAAGTGTTTTGTTTTTTTCAACAGATGTCTCTTGTGAAGATGTGATACAATTAAAAGTTTTTCAAGATGTGCTATAAATGTCAGACACACCTTAACTTGATTCTATGGGTAAAGTTATTAACACTTATGATACCACATCCCTTCCTGATCTTTCTGATGATCTCTATCTTTGGGTGTTCTATGGTTTGGGAGTTTGTTGCATACACATGATCATTCAAGTACCCCCAGAGATAAAAATCTGTAAATCTGTAGGGTTTACGTCAGGGGAATGATTGCTCTAAAATGTCCAGCTAAAAAACATTTCAGGAAATTTTAATTATTTTCAGGAATAACACTTTTACCAGAATATTTCAAGACTTTTTGGTTGATTTTGATTGTTTGACTTCCGAAAAATGAAAAACGCTAATTACAAAGCAATCGTTCTGTTCATTTTTCCTGACCAGACTGTAAATTTGAATATATGATGATTAAAGAATGCAAATTGTTTTTAAAAAATGGCGGGAAATTTAAATATTTGAGAGAAAAAATCCTGAAAAATAGTAAATGAATCATAAAAACATATTTTTAAACTTCATAAGGGGTCGGGCAAGGGGCCTTTTCAGGAAGAAATGTTTTATTTGTCACTCTATACTGTTTTAAAAAAGTATGTACTTCATTTGATGCTATATTTTGGTATTCTACAGTTAGAAAATGTTGACTTAGTATTTTTGTTCAATTTTTTTCTCTATACACTAAAAATCGAGAAAACAAAAAAGTGGTACTGATTACAAATAAAGGATACGTCAAAGAGACGTTAATGTTACGTCAAAGTAACTAGGTTGGAACAGATTGCATTGTTACGTCCCAGGAGTTTTTGTGAAATATCCAATATTCCATGTACATGAGCAATGTTGAATAAACATAGCTTCACAGAAGTAAGAAAAACTATAATATCAAATCAAAAACAAATCGTTTATTCGTCCAGGTTTCATAAATAATACATTCAAGATTGAAAACAATAAATAAGTTCATAACACTTCAAATAAGAACATATTTAATTGCAAAAACAGTAAGACGTTCTTATAATGAGATTTCATTGAGAGGTCATATAGTTGGATATGTGGATACGTTTAGGAATATGTATTGTTGGGACATTACTCCTTCGTCATTAATATTGTTGCTTTAGCCAATGCTATTATGTCATTCATTGAAACATACAGAAATAATGATCTTGATTAAAATCAACTTGGTGATAGTGGTGATACGTGATACCATGAACGTCTTTGAATAACCGATTCACATCCACCGATTAATGTTAACGACATCCACAGGATTCAACGACTAGTTTAGAGAGATGCACTTGCCGATAGTTATTTTCTTCGGTTATATACACAACTGCCATAGGCGTGTAAGTTTCAGGCACACACGTAGCATGCTCCGGGCCCTGGGGAAGTTGCGCAACTATGTCCGGTTGGGTGTGATACATGTTGACTAGATGGGCGTGATCTGAGCTGATATGATGCGTGGTACGTGTCGGAGGATATCGATGGCACCATCCCTTACAGAAGTTGACAGCGCTGTACTTGGGGTAGATCCACCAATTCCATTTCAAGGTTGAGAAGTCGAACTTCCAAGAATGCATCTTGCATTCATCAGCGAACGAAATAAGAGAATTTTTCCATTCCGGATTCATATCAGCTAATGTCTTGTCCTTATTCGATCGCTTTTCTCTTTTACGGTGTTCATCTGTACGGGGTTTGGACTTTTGTCGTTCAACGAAGTTCGGGTCTTCATGATAAATCATTAACAGTGGCTGCTGTCCTTCGGTATGTTCCGGACTCATTCGGTAGATACATTTTGGCGCATAGTTCGGGTATACATACGCTGGCCTGTCAAAATCTTCCTCAGGAATACCTTCAATCCGTACTCGAATAGATAGATCACGAACGCCATTTACAGCGAATTGTTTTATGATGTCGGACAGGTCAAACGTATCAAACCATTTTTCCCTCATGTTCGGAGTTTTGATGGTAATGCATTTTTCACTTGTAGTACAAATGTCGATCTTCGGGATTTTAGCGTACATCTTACGAATCGTTTCGGGACAACGATTAGAATAATACCGATACAACGCCAGCTCCGCCGAAAGAATCGTGTCAGGATCGATGTCATCGGAAAGATTGAAGTGGAGAATCCCTCTCTCAACATTGGAGTCTGAAACAAAAAAAAGCATGATGTTAATTCAAACCACACATAGAACACTACATAGTGTACGTCTATGGAATAGATTCACATTCATGGAAAATAATAGACTCACCAAAAAAAATATTTAATATTGACTACAATCAACCTAATGGATGGTGTTCAGATATAAAATCAATTTTCAATGAGGATGAATGATGATTATAACCAGAAACAATATGTTAATATCAGCATTGTTAAGAGAAAACTAAAGTTATAAAATTACATGAAAAATTACGTATAGACAATTATTAGACATTGAATCACAACCCAAATTGAGGACTCATCTAACTTTTGAACATGACTGTCCAATAGAACAATATTTACTTACATCATCATTGACAAGGAGTGAACGCTCTTTAATAGCTCAGTTAAGTTTTATTTATATTCGTTTGAGTGTAACGAATTAGAATATAAATTATTTCTACATATTACTACAGAGTGTAGCTTTAAGTGCAGGCCCGTAAGACACTTTTCTCCAAGGGGGGTGCGGTTTTTAGCTTACTGAAGAGAATATAAAATTGTCATTTTTTTGCCGCGTAATCAAATCGCGTAAGACAGAGGGGGGGGGGGGGGTCAGTTACTCCCTATATTGGTTTGGAATTAACAAATGCAACTTCCAAACGTTCCAATTGTTTTGTGGGGGGTATGAGGAGTGGTCCACTCCCCCTAGAAAATTTTACAGTTTTGAGATGCTATTTGGTGCTTTGTGGGCACTTTCAATGTGTAAGTTTCTAAGTAGTACGCCACCACCACGGGAATAAGAGTTGAGTGAATAAAAAACTGAGCAATCAGGGCCTAGGGGGTCTGGGGGTTCTCCCCCCAGGAAAATTATTAAATTTGGTTGTATTTGGAGCGAATTTGCAACCATCTGGTACGCCTGTGCGATATGAGTCAATAAGAAAAATGTGATTTTTTTTTCAAATTCTTTTAGGGGTGTCTGACACAATGCATGAAATTCAGAATATTTTCTTTTGTTTTGTGGGGGATGTGAGGGGTCACGCAGTACTGTCAACCCCTAAAGATTTTCTCGCGGGACAGATTTTTTAGACCCAGTGCCCAAAATTCGCGGGATTTTGCGGGACATCTACTAAATTCGCGGGATTTCGCGGGACATTAAAGGGATTTGCGTGATTGCGCTAATATGCCAAATTCAGGTCAAATTCGCGGGATTTCGGGGGACCATTCGAGGGACAAACACCCTAATTGCGGGACAGTTAACAGGTTTACCACCAAAAACTTCATAGAGGGACAGATTTTTTAGACAAAGTGCCCTAAAATTGCGGGATCTCGCGGGACATCCACCTAAATTTGCAGGATGTCCCGGGACATTATTCAAGGGATTTGCGTGATTGGGACTAATGTAAAAGCGTGTAAAAGCTAATCAAACTTCCAGATACTGATTAATCAAATAAAATGCACCGTTGCATTGTAACTTAATTAAACGTCAACACAATTTCACAAAATACGCATAGGAATATTATTAAACTTTATTGTAATTTATCAAAAACAAAAACCATGCTTCAGGTGTGAGTACCGTAATCTAACACGAAATTCAAAAATTCGGAACAATACTTTGCACTTAGGCTATGGCGTTCGTGACCAACTTAAAACGCTTACCCCCATAATGTTATATATTAAAATGTACCTATTCAATAGACATATACTGTAGGCAGGCTTTCAATTGAAAGCCCATGATATAGGGGTTCGATTAATCTACATCAAATTATAGGGAATGAGGTTACTTTTCTAGATAGGGTTTGTAGAAAAAACTGGGTACCGGGTAGTAAATCCTCCATGCTGGGTTCAAACTTGGTACCCGGTCGAAAAAACCGAGTACCCAAAAAACGAAATATACGAATATACAACATAATAAGATCATTAGAAAACGTGTAAGATTTGTTTTGAATTTACAAAAATGTATGTAACTTCCTTCAAAATTGAGCTAGAAGCTTCAAATAAAAAGCATTTTAAGGCTCTTTTCTTCCTCTATCATCATGGTCATATTTCCATTGGTAATGAAGGGAGGGGGATGCGATCGCACCCCCTCCTGGCTACGGCAATGACATTGTAAGGCGATTTAGCCTAATTTTGATCAAATTCGCGGGATAATCCCGCCATTCGCGGGACACTTGACAGCTCTGGGGGTGGCTAACTCTCCTAGAAAATTTTACAATTTAAAGATGGTATTTGGTGCTTCTGGGCACTTTTAAAGTGTATTAGTCAATAAAAACATTGAAAAACAATCACAATTTTTTTCAAATTTTGGGGGTGTCAAAGGGGGGAGGGGTGCCAGAGGGGGAGGTGGGGCTGGGGTGCCAGAGGGGGAGCAAGTGTTTGTCCCCCATATCAAAATTTACAATATCAAGGTGCTAATCGATGAAGTTTGGGCACTTTAAAAGTGTCTGTGCCTAAAAGTGCCTATTTCCCAAGAAAATTTTACAATTTTAAGATGCTACATGTATTTGGTGCTTTCTGGGCACTTTTTGGGGTGTTAAGGGGGGGGGGCTGCCAGAGGGGGAGGTGGAGTGGGGATGCCAGAGGACGAGTAAGTGTTAGTCTTCCAGAATCATTAACTTTATCAAGGATCGAGCTATTTGATGATGTCTGGGCAATTTAAAAGTGTCTGAGACAAAACACTAAAATAAATTTAGAACTTTCCATTGTTTTGTTTGGGGTGTGAGGGGTGGCCCACTCCCCCTAGAAAATTTTACAATTTTACGACGCTTTTTGGTGCTTTCTGGGCACTTTCAAAGTATATGAGTCAATTAAAGAATTTGAGAAAATCACAATTTTTTTGGGGGGGGGGGGTCAAGGCATTCAGCATTCAGGGCCTAGGGGGTCTGGGGGTTCTCCCCCCCAGGAAAATTTTGAAATTTGGTTGTATTTGGAGCGAATTTGCAACCATCTGGTACGCCTGTGCGATATGAGTCAATAAGAAAAATGTGAATTTTTTTTTCAAATTCTTTTAGGGGTGTCAAAGAGGATGAGAGGGTGAAGTGGGGTGGGGTGCCAGTAGGGGCGCAAGGGGTTGTCCCCCAGAAACATTGACCATATCAAGGTGCTATTTGATGATGTCTGGGCACTTAAAAAATGTCTGAGACAATACATGAAATTCAGAATATTTTCTTTTGTTTTGTGGGGGATGTGAGGGGTCACCGTACCGGGTGGCTAACTCTCCTAGAAAATTTTACAATTTAAAGATGGTATTTGGTGCTTCTGGGCACTTTTAAAGTGTATTAGTCAATAAAAACATTGAAAAACAATCACAATTTTTTTAAAATTTTGGGGGTGTCAAAGGGGGGAGGGGTGCCAGAGGGGGAGGTGGGGCTGGGGTGCCAGAGGGGGAGCAAGTGTTTGTCCCCCATATCAAAATTTACAATATCAAGGTGCTAATCGATGAAGTTTGGGCACTTTAAAAGTGTCTGTGCCTAAAAGGGCCTATTTCCCAAGAAAATTTTACAATTTTAAGATGCTACATGTATTTGGTGCTTTCTGGGCACTTTTTGGGGTGTTAAGGGGGGGGGGCTGCCAGAGGGGGAGGTGGAGTGGGGATGCCAGAGGACGAGTAAGTGTTAGTCTTCCAGAATCATTAACTTTATCAAGGATCGAGCTATTTGATGATGTCTGGGCAATTTAAAAGTGTCTGAGACAAAACACTAAAATAAATTTAGAACTTTCCATTGTTTTGTTTGGGGTGTGAGGGGTGGCCCACTCCCCCTAGAAAATTTTACAATTTTACGACGCTTTTTGGTGCTTTCTGGGCACTTTCAAAGTGTATGAGTCAATTAAAGAATTTGAGAAAATCACAATTTTTTTGGGGGGGGTCAAGGGGGGGGGGCGCCAGAGGGGGGGGGGCGCCAGAGTGGGGGGGGGGCAAGTGCAAGATGCAAGAGGGGGAGCAAGTCCCCCAGAAACACTAACTATATCAAGGAGCTATTTGATGATCCTGGGCACTTTAAAAGTGTCTGAGACAAAACACTAAAATAAAAGAACTTTCCATTGTTTTGTGGGGGGTGTGAGGGGTGGCCAATACCCCTAGAAAATTTTTCAATTTTAAGATGCTATTTGGTGCTTTCTGGGTACTTTCAAAGTGTATGAGTCAATGAAAAAAAAATTACAAAAAAAATATTTTTCAAAAAAAAACATTTTTTCAAACTTTTTTTGTGGGGTGACAAAGGGGGGTGCGGTCGCACCCATCGCACCCCCCCCCCCCCCCATCTGACGGCCCTGAAGTGTTACGAAAATCGAACGCTTTTTTCGAATGCGAGTAGAATATGAGTGAGTGAATAGGTGTGTAGTGTTTAGGAGAGACGAAATCATTCTGGCTACGTCGTCTATACAGTGAACACCTTCTTAAACGTCATTGCAGGTTAAACATGTTCAACGCTCGATAGGTTCCATGCATTAGTTCATACCTTTTCAGGCCACATTTCGAGGCTCCTCACATAGAGGTTTTAATGGTGAAAATTAATGCATTCAATCAATCGAAAGTTTTCTCAACATATCATTAAGTCTCAGTCTTTACGTTTTTATGTACTAGTAATCTAAATCAACTCAGACATGCATGTGTAGGCATACCTTATTACCGATGTTCATAAATGATGCGTAAATTTACACTACTGGAAAATTATCTGATGTAATTCAATGGGTCCTGGCCTTAATAATTAATAAACGAGATGCGACCTCTAGCCAAAGCTATTTTTAATATCTAATGAGTGTCATGTTATTTTAAAAGCGCAACGCTTTGTAATATATAGAAGAACTGGTATACTTCCTTTAGCAATAGAAACGGGGAGATTTACCCAACCGAAAACCCCAGTAAACCAAGGACAGTGCCAAATTTGTAACTCAAATGATTTTGAAAATGAATCGCATTTTGTATTTGAGTGTTCAAATTATTCAGAAGCTAGAAAGTCTTTTCTTCAAGAAATCAAAGACATTTCCTAAAATGAAAAAATATATTTACAAGTCGCACGAAACTGGGGACAATTAGCGTAACATTATGGCGTCAAAAACCAAGACAAAACAATGAGCAGCATAGGGCGCAAACAGCCTTACAACGTCAAAAACGACAAGCGTCACATTTTTGTCAAGTTTAGTCAACCTAAAAATAAAATACTTTACCCTTATCTAATCATGACAAAATTCACAAGGTAGCAAGATCTCGAGGACAATATTTCTAAAATGTTTTTGAATTTTGAAAAACGGTCAAGAAATCAACTTGGGGCGTTGGTAAAAATTGATATGTATGGAATTTGTGGTAAAAAAATCGATGCGTCACATTTTTTCAAGTCTCGAAAACCAGCCCTCATTTTAATATTATTTGCAAAATAAACAAACTGGTTATTGTTATTTTAACTGTAGCCGTTAAGCAATTGTGACGTCATAAATGAACAATAAATTTTGAAATTTTAGGGGAATTTTGATCATTATTTCAAAAGTTATCCCGATTTCAACGAGCCCTGTAAGCGTAAAGTGTTACGTCTTACAGCGTATTTGACGATGTCGGGATATATTTAACTTTAAAAATATGTTTGAACCCATCAAAATTTTGAAGGAAAAATAATATCACTGAAATGCGAATAAAAAATGCTTCAAAATGATATATAAAACACATAGTTAGCTTTTTAAATAAGGCAGAAACGCTTAACGCTCAAAGCTAACATCAGCCCGTATTTCCCGAATTGTCCCCAGGTCCGTGCACGTCATAATTAAATGTTTTGGAAAGTATTTGCAAAAAATATTCTATATAAGGAAAAGCGTTTTATTCAAAAATCAAAATCAATAATGTTGTTGAACTGAATTGCACTAATTTTATATTTGTATTGTAAAAAATGTAACTAATGTAAAATGTGTCTAATAAGCATAGGTAGGGCTGCCTATTTTAGATAGGTGACACTTAAATAAATGAATGAATGAATAAATAAATAAATGAATAATAAATATTTCAATGTTGTACCGAGAGAAACATGGCAAAAATAACTTTGTAAGTGATGAGGAAATATTCTTGAAAGTCAGTCATCCTGACAGGACCTGACAATCTAATTATGATTTATATGGTTTAGAGAGAAACTTGCTTTAGCACCATCACCCATTTTCAATTCGTTATTATAATATATACATGTATATGTGTGTATACTGTATGTAGATGTACATTAAGAAAGAAAAACAAAAAATATTTGGGGAAATATAATTTTAAAATAGTTTTAGCAAAGCATTTTGAATTTTGAACTTTTTATTCAATAATCATCTGTAAGTGTCCACATAAGATTTTTTTTTTAAATTACCCATTCTTTAAATATCGGTTATTATCGGTATCATGAAAATAATCGTCATGGGAGCTTACGTTAAACATCTGTGACTAACGCATCGATAGTTTTGTAAAAATTAGACGTCTTCAGTACGAAATGCATGTTCACTTTAAAGTGCAAATTTTAGTTATGACAGAGTATTTTTTCGGTAAGTTATCAAACATTTAACGTTAGTGTGTTGAACGATTTGATCCTGCAAGGTCAAACCATATCGCCCAAGGATAAACATTTCCATTTTGAATTGCATATAAATAAAAATGAAATTACTCTAATCTCCCAGTCTGGATTCTAGCTTGTCAATTAATTGGACATGCTGCCCGATCTAGTGCAATAATTTCCTCGTTTATGAACTCTCGGATCTTTACATTAACATCCCAGTCGTCAAAAAGGGAGGCCTCATCTAAGAAATATATTCAGAACTAAGTTTAAATAAGATAAGCAAGAAAAAACATGAATGGGAAACTTTAAATCCACTTTTCAATTTTCCTTCATCAATGAATCAATATTATATGGGAAAATAACACGAGTAACTTTAAATAACTCAACGTCATTTACACTGTTCCACAACTACATGTAGTTACTTTGACGGAACGTCAATGTAACAAAATGGATGAATTTCCTGGTAAAGAGTTTTTTTATTTTCTCGATTTAAACCTACTTATAAGTCAAGTTGCAGATAACTTGGCACAAAGCTCGAAAATGTAATTTAGTTTTAATAAGTTTCTTCGATTTGGATTTTGTTTTGTAAATGAAGTTGCAATTCATATATTTAGCCCCTCGCTTTTGTTACATTGACGAAAGTCCGTTATATTACCAATTAATGTATGTTACTTTGACGACTTACGTCATTGTAACAAAAGCGATGTTCTAAATGAATGCATTACAGCTTTATTTAAAAATCAAATTCCAAACCGAGAGCATTTCTAAAAGCTAGACTATATTGTGTAACTTTGTGCCAAATGATAATCCGCAACATGACTTATAAGTAAATTCAAAGCGAGAAAACGAAAAATTCGTATCCAGGAAGTTCATCCATTTTGTTACATTGACGTTCCGTCAAAGTAACTAGTTGTGGAACAGTGGTTTACTTCAGAGTATAATGGTTTTTTCGACTTTTTGCCAGTGATTCAACTAGTTTTATCAAGATTACATTCAAAATGGGGGTACACAGTTGAAGGGAAAACTTTATTTTTTTAAATATTTTTCAATGTTCATAGTTATATCAAAATATCAAAATGCGTGACATATATGGAAAAGTATTTTTAGATTTCTAATATGATAATGTTTCACATGTATTTAGTAAGAAAAATTCACAAAGTTTGGTTGATAATCCGGGAGTATCCATAATTTTGAGCCATTTTAGAACTCAACGGATATTGCATATTAATAGTTCTAAAATACTTCTATTCTATCATTTACCTCTATGAATATTAATAGTACGAGAAGAACTTATAAAAATGGCATCTCGAAGCTTTCCACAATACCTTCCGTTGCCCTTTACAATTTGAAATTCATGAATTTACCTTTTAGAGCTGTGTGAGCATAAACGTTGACCCCCTCTAGTGGGTTTTCGGCTTCCAATCGACTTTTTCTCTCTTTCATGTACATTATATCCATGTAGATTGGAATTTTGGACCGAGGCTTTGGCTTTGGGATCTCTTTCACACCAAGAAGCTTTAACATATGTAGCTCGAGTTCCTCGACTGCTGTGAGATTCTCGTCTGCGTACGTGTCGATGTCCCATATTGTGCCTTGATAGTCATGATCCAGCTCTCCATCCGCTCTGTTTTGAGATTCTGATTCTGTCGCGAGTCCGTCGTCATACGCTTTCTTTTTTACGTCATCATATACATGATCACGGCCCCAAATTGCGTCCCATAGACGTTGAAGGAATGATTTCTGTTCAGGGGTTGTCTCTTTTAGTCCACGGGCCTTCCCCTCCGTCGTACCCATAATGCAACAGCAACCGATTAAGCAGACAATCACAAAAACGCTACCCACCGGTACCTTCATCCTAACTAGCGCTTGTTAGGTCGCTTGGTATCAAAAGAACAATCCGAATTTGGTAATGGTTCATATAGTCCTTCGTTATCAATTATTGTTTCATCCAAATGCGTTTTTGTAACATAATTACAACTGACATCTTAACCTCATTGAATGTATTTGTGATGCTTTTGGTAATACGACACACAGTGCCAAAGCCACACCCCGTAGCTGTCACATGACAGATATTTACCAATAGTATTAACGCAAAATATGACTCCGTTTTAAAGGCTAAAAAATAAAATTGTGGGTAAGACGCTTTGCTAGGGTAGTTCAGCACAAGGTCAAAAATCAGCTGGGTTCGTGGAACGTTTATTTAGTCTACATTAATAGTTTGATAAAACTTGAATATTATTGTAGCCTAGTCAGGCACACACCGGTAATAAGATATGATAATGTGCTTATTACTTCTGACAATTATTGGTACTCAAAAAAACAAAAATATCTCGGTTTCAATTTAAAAGTAATGAAATAAACCAGTGAATATTACTTCATTTTATAAGATCTTCTATAAATCTATAATTAATCAATATGGGTTTATTTTGCAATTTATTTTTCACCGACGATGACAAATGGCAAATGGTCAACACTAGAAACTCCAAAAAAATATCTAGGGGGTGGTCCAAAAAAGTGAACCCTTGCAACAAGCTAGCTATACTTGTATCTCAGTTATTACCCGCATTAATGAGCTGATATTCTCACATATCTAAGAGTAATGTCTAAAGTTTTTTCGGTACCATGAAGGTCACCCAGTTTTAATTCTTGCAGAGGTTACATCGTACATGGCAACAGCATCCATGCCTTATTTATGGATTATTTGCTCAAACTTGCTCCACGGTTCTGGATAACTGCTGCATGTTTAAATTATTCACTGCTCTGTGCAGCATATCTAGGGTTATTTTTATTTCTAATGCATTTTTTTATTTTCGGGGGAGGGAGGAGGTGGTAGCTTACGTTTTTGGGCAGTGAACAACTCCAACATCCGCTCCATGGTTCTGGATATCGATAACTGCTGTGATGCGAATGCAACACGAACGTTGAAGTTGTTCACTGCTCTATCCAGCGTATCTGGGGTTCTTTTGTAGTTCTATTGCATTCTTCTTTATTTTCAGGAAAAAGTTCAACACGAATATTGAAATTGTTCACTGCTAAAAAGCTTTAGATATAACTTTTTTCCTGTACGATGATACTAAAGGAAGTTACTTTTATGACATATACAAGGTATTAACATGCAAAACATCACCACCTGTCATTTGTAACAGACGCCAACCGCCTAACGCCGAACACCGACCGCCGAATGCTAAACACCGTCAGCAAAAACACGAGATAATAACAGTATGTCACCACTTATGATGGTGACATATCACCACTTGTGATTGTGACATATACTAACTCAGTCCTAGAATATTATGTACATGTATAGTACATGTACAAACGTTCTGTTCGTAGAAATACTTGTGATTTTGTAACAAATGATACATGTTGTAAGGTCTTATAATTAAGAAAATACATTTAATTGTAAATATGGAAAAATACATCTACTAGTATTATATCATAGATCTGCAAAGCGTATGTTCATTTTGAAGGACTCTTTGACAACCTAACATTGTGGATAATTAATCCAGTTACACCAGGCGATTAATGTTGAAATCAAACACTCATCAATTCACAACACTAATTTGTCCCATATCATTTTTATATGCTTCGGGGCCAATTAAGTTCAGATTATTGACGTCAATGATCTCATTTTGTGTCGCGATCGCAGATGATTTATAATCTCAAAACTAAACAACCGGCAAGAAATGGTCAGTATGTAATGGGGAAAACGTGCAGTTTTTCATGTGTTTAGTCTATACTTATCTCCCAGGTAATCTAATTTGACAATTTAATAATAAACTATCTTTAAGAACTCGGTCCCTCACACTTTAAGCATCAAACTACTAAACTTTCTGACATACATTTATAACCTAAGTCAGAGACTAAATACAGGTATGAACCTGATAAACCATACGTAAAGAGCTTATCTGAGGCATCAAAGAAGAATTTCTTTATTCCTTTACAGAATGATGCAGCTGTACCCACAAGGACTGTCCCGGGCAATACCATGGGGTGGACAATTTTATTAGAGTAAAATGAATGGTAGAATGGAAGAGTTCTGAATGCCTCAAAGTTATCAACCACTCCTATGTAGTACGTAGTTTTTACATTCCTTATTATGTCACTACCACAAGTGGTGATCATGACATATAGTTTCCAACTTTTTTGTGGACGGTGTTTTGCAGTTTGTGTTCAGCATCTGGTGGTTGGTGTTCGGCGTTTGACAGGTGGTGATATTTTGACTGTTAATACCTTTTTAAAATAAATAATATGTGTCAAAGTATTTTGCCAATAGACTAACTGAGTCCCTTCAAGTATTTCAATTTGTATTAACATAAGACACCTTTGAATGTTATTACGTACATGATCTTCGTGACATGGGCATTGTGGTTAGACATTAAAATTGATCTTCATAGGAGTAAAAATGAATTTTTAAATGTTTTCAACATTGTGTCAATAGATGTAGCCAGGCATGTTTCAGAAAAGTTATTACAAACATCATACAAAGTTGTTTTTGAAAATAATTTTTGACATAAACTATAACGAATTTTTATTTCACTTTTCTTTAGTTCTTACCACTGTTTTCTTACCAGAACCTTGTAGTTTTACAGTCACAGAGGTTGAACAACCTGTCGTAACTGCATTACATTGTATATTTTGGTAAGTTCTTGAGATTGTATTCACCGATTTAAACACATATAATATTTGATCTATGGTGAGTAACAAAATAATGATTCTCAATATAAATATCGTTTTTAACTACATGTATAATACCGACTCTCGAGCGTTCCTTCGCACCAGCCAACTGGCCTAATTTTGTGAGGTTATGTTAAGGCGTTGTGTTTTCTAGAATGACAATGGTGATTTCAGTCAGATACTATCCATCTTTTTTGACTATTTATATACTATTCGTAGATGACCTCATTATCAACATATTCACATGCATCAAAATGTGCCATATAAGCTGACGACTTGCTGGCACCATAAGCCCAGTGCATGCGCCCATGTACACAATTTTAGCAAATGCAAACCACTCGTGCCAATGTTATGCTTCTTCTATAGCTCTATGACGACGCGGTTCTGTGGCTGATTCGTCAACCGTAACTATAGCATCCGGATTCAAGTCTTGTTGTTCCTCATTGGTCAATCTTTGCAATGATAGAATGACGTCATTTGTAGGATTAATCGTGTGCTTCCAAATCAACCAAGGATGGAAGAGACACGTGAGCGACAGCAGGCACAAACTGACATGAACCTTTAAATTGAAAGCAGAATAATTATTTAAGGATTTAAGTACAGGATTCAATTCTAACATATATAGCATTCATAACTTTAAAATAACTAGCATTCATAACAATAAAATAACATAACTGTAAAAGATCGATTATTGTGCTCGTCAAGCTTGAGTAAAGGATGAGTCTCGGTTTGGGGAACAGTCTCCTGGGCTAATAATTAATTTCATGAAAAAATATAGAAATATCACCCAAATTAAATAATGAATATTCAAAAGAGGACATTTAAATCTACAAGATGTCCGAAGCAGGGATAACGGTGCAGGAGACCGATTCAATTGAATAGAAGTCTCGATTAGGAGAAAAAAGTTCATCAGTATACTGCGTTAATATTTTTTATGAAAAATGTAGAAATATCACCCAAATTAAATTTTGACTATTCAAAAGAAGACATTCAAATCTACACTCCCCTTCATAAGTTTGGCAACCTTTTTTCCCCATTGAACTACGTGTAATAGCCTCTTTACATTTGAATTTTTATTAACTTAACCTGCGATGAAAATACTTATACTATTGATGGAAACGTAATTTGACTTTAATTCCAATACCTCCAAACTTTCTCATTTATTCCTCAATTACAATAGGCCGAAAATTGATGATAAATTTGATGATTTTTTGAAAATCGACATTCCCATGTTAACCAATGGGAAATGGTAGGTTTGCCGCAAGTCATATGACAGAATATCCATCCATCCGAGTCCTTGCAAAAATACGAGTTAAGCAGGCAATTGAATTTGCTAACTTAATTTAACAAAAAATTGATATGTTTCTTCAGGTTCAACAAAGTTATAGGGCTTTAAAGTCAAAATTGTTTTTCAAAAAAACTCTCCCATTGAAATAACACGGGAGGCGAAAATTTATTTTCAAAAATGACTTTGAAGCGCTGTAACTTTAATATTCATCAAATAAACTAAACACGTAGTGTTCAAAAAAGTTAGACAATTCAATTTTCTATATAAAAATATTTTTTGCTGAATCTTTTACTGAAAAGATATCCTGATTTCTGATTTGCCCCGAACCCTTCATTTACCATTGGTTAACATCGGAATGACGATTTTCAAAAATTCATCAAATTTATCATCAATTTTCGACCTATTGTAATTGAGGAAAAACATTGAGAAAATTTGAAGGTATTGGAATTAAAGTCAAATTACGTTTCCATCAATAGTATAAGTATTTTCATCGCAGGTTAAGTTAATAAAAACTCAAATGTAAAGAGGCTTTAACACGTAGTTCAATGGGGGAAAAAGGTTGCCAAACTTATGAAGGGGAGTGTAGATTTGAATGTCTTCTTTTGAATAGTCAAAATTTAATTTGGGTGATATTTCTACATTTCTATTTTTCTACATATTACACGTTTCCATCAATATTATAAGTTAGGAGGAGGAGGGGAGTGTATATTATGTAAGAAAATCAAATTTATCCGAAGCAGGGATAACGCTCATTTAGAGTGATGAACTTGGTTGAAATTGGTAGTCAGCAATTATCTGCGTACTTTGCTAAATCGGGAATTTCAATTTTATCAAAACACTGTTGAATTTCTCGGTGTTTTGGTCTAACGAGACTTCTTAAGACCACTCTCTCGAGGTCTCTTTTCCGGAGACGTGAACCACCCAATACAAGTTATTTAGTCAATCGCTTGTCTTTTTGTTTGTTAGATCATGGGCTTTCAACTAAGAACATTATTTTTCTTAGAAAGAAATATGTTTTTGAAGGTTCGAAGAAGGCTGATAGTGCCTGATACGTTTTGGGCAGATTTACGTAGATTTAGGGTAACTCTGCAAAAACGTGTTATAATTTCTTTTTGGAATTCAAAACAGAATGAAATTTCCCCTTGCCAATCTAAAGATATTTGAAAGATATTCGGATGCAGGTTTCACTAATTATCGAATATTTCTCAGAATTAAATAGGTGAAAATTTATATCTGTCTTTATTTCAATAGTTTAAGCAGTTTATGGGTATTGATATCAACTACTTTGCATCTGATAGGTAATAATGTTTCTCTCAAAAATATACACACTCATTCAAATAATCACTGTCAAGTTATGTGAGCATTGCACGGACCACATCTCTCTGTATTGAACACTTGGAATTGTAGTCAATTTCAATGAATGGAGGTCAAGGTTAAAATAATCATTCATCCATCGTAAAATATAAAATGGCTATGCGGTGCGTCCCAAAAAACGCAACAAGTAAAAACATTGTAAAACCGCAAAACCAGTAATTATTACATCAATTTCATTTATTTTACCATGAAGCTATGTGTCTCCTCTTTCCAATGGTATGTCATTTGTTCATATCTGTTAATGTTTTTTCGCGCGTTGGTGAAAAGGCATTTGTGCCAAGTTTTGAAATATCCTCAGTCAACTGATCCTATTGTGCAATCAGGTAAATCATTATGTAATGGGGACTTGAGATTAAATTCTGGTTACAAGAGTTACATAATACCAAGTTTCAGATTTAGATTCCCTAAGAAAAAAGATTTAACTTTTTAAGTGTTCACAAGTATCCTTGATGGTTCAGTTAACGTTACAAACATATGGAAAAAGAAGTGGCATAAACAGTATAGTCAGTAAAGTCACAATCATTGCCTGTGTCTGTCATCTTATGAAAGATTGCTCATTAAAGACAACATTCCATACAGTGTTTTGAATAGTCAGAAAGTGATACCGAATGTCTAGGTATATTTGAATACTTCATTCCGTCGGTCAGGAACTTAATTTCCGGCGGCTAATATAATAACAATTTGAAGGATAATCACTTGTAATAATACTTGTCGAGTTTCATGTTCTAATGGTGATCACTTTGCAGAAATACTTAGAAATACATAAAATATAAAATTATTAATTTTTGTCTGGTAAGGCGAGTCAAATTAGTAAAACACCCAATTCAGATAGATCGCCTAAAATTACATTTGTATGATGCGAGACTCGACATTCATCAGGAAACTCGAAACATGATCAAATTATGATCGGACATAAGTATGATGTGTACTTCAAGATAATAAATATTTCATTACGGTTTTATCTTTACATCGTAATTTCAATCACCGCCATCGCTTTTCAAACGAGTTACCTTGAAATATCAAGACGTCGTGCTATTGTCATACTTATACATTTTAATTTGACAGTCATTCACCATTTATTAAGCAGTAAAAAAGTAATTTGCCCCATGGGTGACAATTTATTTCAAGTTTCCTGGTGAAGATCGAGTCTCGCATCATACGAATGTAATTTTAGTCGATCTGTCTGCATGGGGCGTAAATAGTATACAAATAGGGACTGCCATTGAGGGCAATAGGGCAAACTATTTTCCCCGAGGGAATATCCTGTCCATTGCCCGAAATTTGGCAGTCACTATTTGTTTTATTTCATATCTCATATGTATTCCAAATAAAAAATATTAAGACCAGCCAAAATTTCTCCAATATAGATCCTATCATTTCTGGATTGTCTGAGTCAGCATCGCAGTTAGTTTCTCCACAGTACCCTTCAAAAGTTTCCTTGAAGATTTGATAATGTTTTTTGTAGCTAAAGAATCGGCTTGGTCCATCAATTCATCCAAATCATCGTCATTTATCGTTTCGAAACGACCAGCCATATTGTCGTCTGAACTGAACTTTGAATGCGCACTAATGATGCGCAGTCGTTTTCCTGGGATTTCAATGACGTCATCGGTCATTAGTAGCTTTTATCTTCCCCGTAATCTGCGAAAGCGGGGATTTAGTACTTTCCAGGGAATTAGTCTATCTATTTCATATCATGTGACCATGAATTGACCAATAAGCGTATAGAATACATATGAGGTATGTAATTATGTATACCTTTATTGAATATTCAACCCCATTTAGAATACAATACGTCATTAACTATATTTTCCAAAATTGAATTTGCTCTGAAATTCTTTTGAGTGGAGCCTTTTCAATTATTGAACGCCCTATATTTTTACAATTGTGATACTTACAAAGAAGGTATCCCCAAAGAGGAGGTTTCTTACAACGTGATGTTCTATCAGGTACTGAAGAGTACTAAAGATTGAGCCAAGAAATAAGGTCAGTCCCAATATACTGCCAAATATTCCCTCTGAATAACTGTAAAATGCAAATAACTTATAGTACTAAGAATGCTAACTATTCTTAAAACATGTAACATTTCAAAATGTGTGATTCTGCTTTAAAAGAAAATCAGTCCATCAAGTCCTGAGTTTGATATTTCAAATGCAAGTTAAAATGGCGCAAAATATGAAAAATTGAAAATTCTTCGCTTCTAGGAAGCAATAAGAACAATCTACATGCATATGTGTGTTTCTAATATTATATTTTGTAATATGCCAATTATGCCTTTATTTAATAATTAGATGTAAAATATATTATTTTGCTTACAAAATTGTTACGAAGCACATGTTTGCAGTAAGAAGCGTTGGTTTTAAGATGGCGTTTAGCACAACTATGATGTAATGTATGTGTATCGACGGTAGAAGGCTAAACAACCCCATAGATGTCGCCAAAAGCAGTACAAATGATGACGCCATAATAAAATTAGTTTGCGTCTTCTTCTTTATCTCTGCAACATAAATACAGTACATTTAAGAATTCAGAAAGATCACTATTGATTATTTAGAAATGTTGATGTAAAGTGAAGCTTCGAAACTAGCTGCCAATATTAATCACGTGTCATCCTTGGCAATGATCTTGGAAAAATGAGTTGCCTAATGGACAATGTCGATGTATAAATTGTAGCAGACATATTTCAAATTCTAGTCGTGAAGAACCATGGTATAATATGTTTTGAGTGGACATGTGTAACATTAGATTAGAGAATACACTAGCACAACTCTATATATCATCCAATTTGAAATACAGGCTGTTCAAAAAAGACTTGGAAAATACTAATTCAATTATGTTCATTTTTTCAGGAAAGAAAGAAGAGACTGTGTATGTATAGCTCATGTAGATGGTTAGCTGTAAAACATGATGCCTTGGACACCTATACACCAGGAGTTATACATGCACAGTCTCGTCTTTCTTTCCTGAAAAATTTCCAAGATATAGCGATTTTGGGGTTGCGTTTTTTAACACCCTTTAAACTATCTATGGACATTGCTAGAAATAAAACGATTTCCAAAACAATATTGTATTTAGTTTTTAAAATGTGATTTCGGGACTCAAGTTTGCCATTTGTACTATCCATTTCTATTAATTACCTAATATATTTTGACATTTAGATGTTCCCCTGTCAATCATTACTCCGAGCGCTGGTGACACCAAAAGTCCCAACATTTGTATAAGGATATCCTTCTCTTCCGAAACATATCTAAAACCTGTAAAAATAACGTAGTTATTCCAGACAGACAATGCTACTTTAACTATTTAATTAAAATGTTCTGGTGACCAGTGATATAAATGTTCCATTCGAAATATAAAAACCGTTCAGTCCGATCTTTTGAGTTGGTGGTAACAGTGGTAAGAGAGTAACTCATGATTGAATAACTATTGAGTAACTATTGATAAATCTATTTTGCTATGTTTATGTCAGTATGTCAGTTGTTCCACCATAATGAATTTGTGTACATGTATTGTCTAAATGAAACAAAATTAACAAATACTCGAGGAATATACCTCCTTCACGGAAATAAAAACAAATCAAAATTTATTACATTTTTTCATCAAATTGTATGCGTACTGGCAGAAACTTTGAAAATTGAGGTACACTTGTTAACTATGACTGAAATATAGTGGAACATGTTCAATATTATATCCTTTTAGGAAGGGCTACAAATAGTTATGATTACCAATTACTCAGAAAACATCATAAGTAGAACCATTACCTCCCACTCAACGCATCTTAGCGAGTAGAGTAAAAGAGAAAACCCAGGAGAAAGCAGTCCTTGTTTTAGTTTCAAAATATTGGCATCGAATATTGATTGATGGAAACTTCGATCGAAACAACTGACAGAAACATGCTGCCGGTAAATGGGTCACGTGATAAGAAATGTAATCAGCCAATTACAGCCGAATTTGACAAATGACACTTCACCAAAAATGAAAAAAGTTCATACAAGTGACTTGTAAGATATACGCAGAACTTAATTTCTTCTTTAAATGTACTACCTCGTTTCTCTTTAACGTAGAGACAAGGTGACAGGGGTATGTAGTTCTGAGACAGGAAGATGGATTCAATGTTATCTCAAAACTCAGAGTCCGGCTAGGCTTGATACAAATGGATTTGAAGGTATACCATGAATATAAATAAATCATTGCCCATTTATTGTGTAATTCTGATGTAGACCCCATATTCATTTTTTGTTTGAGCGAAACGTCGAGCGAACACAACATAAGAATATAAAGTATTAAGGCTAACATAAAAAAAGATAAATTAATCAATAAAATTTAATATTGGGTATGGAATATCTTTTATTAAATTGCATCACATATTTTTCTAACGTTTTGTAACGTAATTATCCTCATCAACAAATGGTAGAATAAAACATACATAAACGTTATAAAGCGTACTAGTAAACTGATATCACGGTGATATTTCATGAAGGCTTTTACCTTTTACGATCCTGTGGCCTGAAGCCCTCCTTAGAAAATAAGGCATGATAGACCCAGTTGTCATGGCCACTGTGTATAACAAACAGAACCATCCAGAATGACCAATGAATAAAGGTGAGCACAGCACACGTGCTTCTAATGCTGATACACGCTTCTTTACTTGCGAATCTTCTACAAATACAAATCATTTATTGGCAGGGTGGGAACATTTGTATTTATTAAACGCTCGTTAAGCGTTCTTCCTTGAACCGTCGTCCGACCCCAGGGCGTTAAACACAATGTTCTCATCTTCTGAATCAAATGTTAGATTAAATCTAATAGAAAGATTTCTCATGGTGTAACTGAGTTGAACTAATGATCATAAATTGTTTTTTGTATTTTAATCTCAGATTGTAGCTGGCGAAATCAAAGAGTTTCTTGTATATCGTTTATAAAAACGATGGTTTTTATTTCACCAACAAAAGTAGTGACACATGATATTATTATGGTCTCCAACTTTTTTTTGTCACGGCGGTTGTTGGTATTCAGCGTTCGGCGTTCAGTGTCTGTAACAATTCGCAATAAATAACAAGGTGGTGGCATTTCGTCAGCTTAATGTCTTACAAGTATGCTAGCATAAAATCAAACTATTTCCCTCACACATATATCCTAAGAGTAGGGAGCATACCTGTTCCTGATTTCACTCTAAAGCGATCACTTTCCTTTGGTTCTCCTTCGGGTGACTGTAAACTCATTATGCTCCCTCGGAATATGCAGTGATTGACGCTAGGGGGCCATGGTATGTGCCATTTTGGCAAAATAGCAACTGTGTTGATAACCATCGGGATTATCGATACTGTCATGAACATAAACGATGACTGGATGTTCATGCCATCGAGAAAAGTTTCCTGCAAAATTTAAAAAGATGTAAATAATGGAATCGGGAGTCATCAAACATTCATTTGTAGGCAATGGAGACTTTTATCATTCTCTTTTTTAATTGAACTTTTTAAATTCTTATCTTCATTTAGTCATATCATATTTGCGCACAAAATTGAATATTAGGGATATATCTAGGATAAGAATATTAGAATTAGATCATTTCAAAATCTTATTGAAAACCTGTAATTTTTTTAACTTTGTGATGAACTTGTTTTGAAAGGTGTTCCATTGATTTGTGTCCAGTACACTATGGTAGCCCAGAACCTTGTAACATACCAGAGAATTATTGTCATAATATCTCTCGGCCATACACATCAATTCTGTGATGCTGATGTCATTATACAGGGTGGTCCAAAAAAAAATTGGAACATTTGTCAATTGAACACAAAACCTTTATTTTTCCTCTAAAATGCACCAAAATTTCACTGAGCATAGTTCAGTCACTTATCTCTCTGATGTAAAGTTTATAGGTGCAAACCACAAAGTTAATACATAGTCAATGTTTGATATGACCCCTTTTTCTGAAATATACACTTGTCAATTTCGCAGCTACTTTTTCAAGTATTCTTTTTTAAAGCTTCAATGAACATGTTGATTGCTATACACATTTTATAAAATCATATTTAGTTGACATTAGGTATTACGGTCAAGCCAAGTAACTTAGTCAACATTCGATATTCGTATGTTCATCAGCATTTACTAAGAATGGTGCCACAATTTAAGTAAACCTCTGGTTAATTATTTTCAATAAACCTATCAGCAAACGTGTAAATGATAATTTTGATGTTCTGTTACATATTGGTGAAGCAATCTTTGGGATATGACCTAAATTTCTGATTTTCCACTGTGTCCCTGTATACCCCTACTTCAAAAGATGTATGTTATTCGTCATTTTTCATTATGAACCAACCATAAATGTATTTTTTCTTGTTAACATACAGAATGAACTTTCTGTTTTCAAATATTGCAAGCTGGTACTGCATTTATTTGTTCGTGATATGGAGCAAACAAATGCGTGTCAATTTACACTGTAATATCCTACATACTTATATTTCAAGGGTAGTTTTGAAGAATAAACAAGAAAATCCATATTTTCAAATGGATTCATCCTTGTCAAAGAACGTGAATGAGGATATACCGTTTGAAAAACTCACAACATGTTTCAAGTTCTTACAATTCTTGGTTAAAAAAAATAATTTGAAAGTTTTGATTTTGAATGTTAGATCCTACTCAATAAAATTTGTTGATATTTGTGAATTTTTTCTTTCGAAATGCACATTGCTGGATCACAGAACCTTGCCTTGTTCGAGATGCACGAAAAGTGTATTGTTAATACGTACTTGACGTCGTTCGGATATTTGGATGTGATTGACGTTTTCGTTAATCTCCTACCACTGTAACTTCCAACTTAATTTTTGAAAGCCAAATGTAATAGTCACGAATTGATATTTAAGTCACACGTTGATGTATAATTCATGTGTGTACATTAACTGTCGAATACACGCCGACTTACATTTACATAAATATCCACAATTAACTCAAATCATCAATTTTGGAAACGGTTTATCATTTAACCTGGTGAGTTGAATGGTTTCATATTAATTTATAATTATGGTATCGGATTTGAGTATGATATAAGTCGAGGCTTAAACAAAGCAATAAAATTACGTGAAACCTTTTGTGAAAATTCGAACGATTTTTTAAGAATCTTTCTTCAAAGTGGTACCAAAGTGCTCCCCGGGAGTTGAAATTTCGTCTTGTGTAATCAAAATAATAGAGCGGGTGGTTTGAATTTTTGTTTGAGTTTATAGCTTACATCTATAAATTTAAAAACATATCGCCTCATTGAGAGGTACATGCAGATTTTGGCGATCTATCATCATAAAAGGCTAGATATTGTGCAAAAACAGGAGTTGACACGCTTACATTTGGAAATGAAATTTCCTACATAATCGTCGACTCATGTTTAAAAGTCATGAAAACAAGGTTGAACACAAAACATTGACCCAGTAGCTATCTATTTAGCATGGGTTCCCTTAGGGAAATATTATTAATGACTTAAATCGTTAACAGATATGTTGTATTCCAAGAAACTTATCAATTTAGAAAAGCAAAATGTTCAATTTTGTTTTTCAATTATAAAAAATGGCACCTGTTGAGAACAACGTTTTCGATTTTTTTTAAACGGAGATATTTACTCATGCGACATTCATGGGCATGTGTCAGGGAGTAAATAAGAAGAATATGCATTTGATTCTATATCTTGTTCCCAAAGGAGTTTGTTAAGGAGCGGTATATCTTAACGTACTTTTATCATCCCGAACTCAAACATTTCGAATACGTATTTCGAGAACGCTTTGTTGAGAATGGATTCGAGATGTACTCAAAATTAATACGTTAAAATGTGTATTATCATCGTAATAACCACCTCACAAATTATTTTGGAAATCAAAGATGTACGATTTTTGAGATTTTCATTTTCGAATGTTGACTTACTTACTTGACTTGACTGATTAACGTCTATTGTTTACTGGAAAAGTGTTTAATTGTGTAATTGTCAACTGAAGAATACCCCAAATCATTATTTTTATTTAAGAGTAGGAAAGAAAGAACATGTCAGAGGTAAGTGATTGCAAAACCCATAGAGCTACTAAAGTGACAAAATCATTGTTTCCACTTTTCAGTAGAGGGGAAACTGACTAGTTATTTACAAGGCTTTATTAAAGACCACCTCTAAGCAATCATAATATAATATATCATTTGTGTTCTGGGAAACTCCTTTATGATATTGATATACATATATTGATGTATTTAATATTATTCATATTAGAACAAGAAAGGGGAGGGGGTTCATTTACAAGTCAAAACAGACTGCCCTGGCCTCTTTCTGGAGAATATTCAATCAGTAATATATCCAACAATAGCCATCAAAATATGCTTGATACCCATCAATTTGGGTAAAAAAATGTTGAATATGTTCATATATTTGATCTTCCAAGGCAAACATATAAGTAATTTGTTCAAGCTGAATTTTTAATCAAGATGGATTGGACAAAATCAAACGAACAGCAAAGTGAATGAATCATTTAAAAATGAGTGCCAGACTTCAACTTGTAATTCAGGAGAAAAGGGGTCATATCAAACATTCTCTAGTTTAATGCATTAACTTTGTTGTTTGCACCTAGAAACTTTACATCAGATAAATAAGTGATTGAACAATACTCATGTTGGTGCATTTTAGAGAAAAAATAACGATTTTGAGTTGTTCCAATTTTTTTGGACCATCCAGTATATATGTCTTTATCTCTTGTATTTAACTAATTTGTTTCCTCCTAGTTCTGGATTGACTTACTTGTCCATTATTAATTCATACGTCAACTGAAAAGGGAATAAAATGCTGACGTCACGATTTCCCAGAGCCTCAGTATGTGAGATGTTATCTGAACTGCACACAGTAAGGGGAGGCATCAAAAGTCCAATGTCTGATAGGAAAGTAAATAAATCTAGTTTTGAGTTGGACCCCCCCCCCCCTCCCCCTCAAAACTAAATACAATGAAAGTTGATCGCGGACTTTTCACATGTTTTAGCGACTCAATTTGGACTTTCATGGGGCAGTACTATAACTTATTTATAATTCTTAAAACATATGCCAACAACAATAGGCATAATATTCCATATGTTGCATGCATCTTGGTGAAGAAGGCATCTGGTAAAGTCTTTATTTTTAAACCATTCCAATGCATTTCGAGTCGAAATTGCAAAAATTTAAATGTTGAAATTTGTCGGATAGCAAACTGGAGCTTTGACCCCGGCCCCTCCCCAAACTAAATTTATTTAGTTTTCTATCAGACATTGATCTTTTGATACCTCCCCTAAAACGATCGCTAATGGGATTAATTGGACGTGATAATACTTAATCTTGTTCAATGGGATCCTCTGAGATTTAATGGTATCGTAATGAACTATTTTTTGTTCACGCGGTTCCAAGGTCGTTTTTTCTATACTAGTAGATAATTTTATTAGATCTATTGAAAATTCTATTATCAGTCTTTGTTATAGCAAAGATATCATGCTATTGAACCCTGTTACGATTATATGAGACAAACATCAATCCATCAAACATCGCAATTTTCTAGAGAGCTTTACAATCATACGAGTCACTGATGATGCAACAAATGCTACTACATAGTTGGTTTTGTAGATTTTCCTCGAATGAAACACCACAAAGTAACATGACAGAACGATATATTTTTTAACCCTCTCGGAACAAGAATATGATATGATCTTCTTTTTTCTCTATTCAACATGCATCATAGTAAAATATATCATCAAGTCATTTTCATAAATAATGATATAATATAAATTAACCGAAAGTAAAATATATCCCTTGATCTTGCTGTTGTTTTGGTGAATGATATGATAGGGTTGAAACACTGTTTTATCAATGTATGGGACACCGGGGTTTTGTTTCCTTATATATGTAACAGGCCCTTCACTTTAAAAGATCCTTTCAAAATGTATCCCTAATATTTTTGGTCTTACTCTTACGTCACTTGAGTTTTTTGTTAATTTTGATGCCTTTATTTGGTAGTTTTATATGCTGCCCTATCATACACTCCCTATAAAGAGGAGGGAAAACCCCATGATTCAATTGATGACATACGATTTCCTCCTTATTGCACCTCCTTTCCCGAAAGTACGTATATTTATACTTCCCTCCATCTTGGTTTTCAGTTTTCAAATTGACCTAGTTTTAAACCAATTAACGATCGACTCGCTAATTAAACAAATCAGCGACGATGTCATCTCAATACAGATTTATATTATAACCCTGTTGTTTCTCCCCCTCTTCTCCCTATAAGATTGGCTACCGGAAGTTGTCTTAGAATAGCAGCAAAGCCTGTTGTCAACTTAATGATGTAGGAATCTTAATTTTGTTCATTGGTTACAATTGTTAGGAAACATTTGACTTTGATGCTTCTTTAAATCGCCAAATATGCAAGCAGGCGTTGATAAGTGACTCCCAGTTGCCATACTTATAGAGGGGGTGATTTAATTGATACACGCACGCACTTTCGTTTTCTAAAATACGATAGCACCGAACGAAATGCACTAAGTACTCACTTTTGTAAAAAGGAGGAGAAGACCACTTGCATGAAAGGCACCGACGTAGAATCCAACAACCGTGTACCTACGACACGGGAATACATGTGACACCTGGATGTTTGTAAGAAGTATGAGATACCCACTCGTTGCCTGGCAACACGTCGAAATGTACAAGAGCCATGGTTGGTCTAAAAATAAAGTAGATTATTAATTTAATTTTATCTGTTGCTAATTTCGGTCTTATTTGTATTGGGTCAATATTGGATAAGTTACATCTGATAAGGTTCTATCGGAGAGGTCGTCTTGAATTTAAATTGGTTTCTATGCATAGTTATTTCTAGCTAGCTGTGTTAATGAATAGAAAATCATAGTATCCATGTCAGGGTGTCCATGCTTTTGTGGATCTCTTGAGTATTGTTGGGAAAACATTTGAATATCCACTCTACATGAGGTTTTGTATGAATGACAGGGGCGTAGCCAGTTTTCAGTCAGGGGGTGTGATTGTGGCATTAACAAGCCAAAAAATAATATTTATCTTGAATCTTACAAAAATTGGTGCAACTTCCTTCAAAATTAAGCTAGAAGCTTGAAATAAAAAGCATTTTAAAGCTCTTTTCTTCTTCTATTTCTTAATTAGTTATGGGTTATATCATTAGTTATATCGCACCCATCGCACCCCCCCCCCCCTGGATACGCCTATGAATGATCAATTAGTTAGATACAGGCCTACATGTATTTCCCTCAATATAACATTTACGCAATCCCAATCACTGTCTCCATAAAATAAATGATTGGGATTTGGAGCTATCCATTTGATGATGGAAAAAAAGTATAACAGATTTTGTTATTTGAATTGCAGGAGTGGTGCGGTTATTAACTAACATTTGTTCGATTCCTTGAGCAATATACAAAATCATGTAAAGTATTCCTCGTTGCCAAGGTAACATATAATAATTTGATAGCACTTAAGTATTAGATTATTGGCCTGATGGGTAATTAATAAGTTGCTTTTATTTGATTATTACATTCACTGACGTATCCTAGGCCTTGATTTGCCAAGGTGACCAGGTCTGTATTTAAAGTATGGCGCCATGATTAATAGAATGTTCTTGCGCAAAAATAATGTAATGCCATACACGTATAGAAATAAAGTTGAAATCAAGGAGGGTTGGCTCCCAGGGTTCCAACTTGACGATATTTTAATCTCCATGCAACTTGTTCAGTGTTGATTCCCACGGCAATAGAACGCACGGGTGAACTGCAAGGAGAATGGTCGTTATCAACGACAACGATGTCCATGTCTGACTTAATAACTGACTATAAATCCATAATCAGCGATCCAAAAAATTTGAACTCATATATCACTTCTTGTGTTTTGATATTGCACTGTAATTGTTTAGAAATAAGACCAGAACTCGCGATTCAAATTCTGATTTCTGAAGTGAAAAAATGATTACTGTTTAATTTTGGATTTTGTTATAACGACTTATGGCAGAGTATCGTGTTGGAACCCTGGGGACCAATCCACCTTGGTCGAAATATAGAACCCTGACATGTTAGAGCTCATGCACCATAAGAAAGCTGTCATGAAGAATCGTCTCTATCCTACATTGTCTCTTGAACAAGAATGTTATACTGTCGTAATGCAAGAAAGTGTCTGTAACGTCACTACACTTGTTTCGTTCGGTACACATACTAATCCCCGGGTATTAGATAAACATGTAGTGCCTACTATATTTTTATTTTTCTTGTGCTGATCTTGGTCGTTTCCTGGCCTTAATTAATCATTTTTAATTATTTACTTATTGTTTATAAACATAATAGATCTCAATGATATGACGGAACTTTTCTTGCATCTAATTAAAGGGTGAAAATCAGTCATAATTGTAATATATCTATCATAAACTTTTTTCTTAATATATGCATATAAAAATCGTCTCATGTTTTTATTGCCCATTCTGTATCATAGGAATATATTATTATCCACATCATTTTAACCTATTAGCATCTTTAGAGATATCAAACCTTTGAATCAATACTTATTCTTTGCTCTATAGAGTCATCAAATTAACTCCCCCTTTTACATAAATGTCAGATGGTTGGTACATCGATGAAAAAACATTTCATATAGATCACACTTCCCAATGGAAAAACATAGCGGTGCCAAAAATATCCACCTTAATTGGGCAGTACCTCCTTAAGGGCTCAGAGGTTATTAAGTGATAAAGGAATTTTGCAGATGGGCCTTAATTAAGCTGTTTCCTCCTGTTTGTCCTCCAATCGTTTTGATAAGTTTAAATGATAAAACATATATTCTTACATACGTTTTCACTTGTTGAGGACCTGTCAACATTACCGTTTAATTACTTATTAGTGAGGGGTTTAACAGGGGTCCACAAAAAATAAAAAATTTAGATTTTGATAATTTTGACGTTTACAACGGATTACCTACTTATGAATCAGTTTTTGGAAAGGTTATTAGCATGATATTTTGATTTTATCTGTTTAATTGAAAATAAGATTGTCTGTATGACTATATTTTGCATTCAAAAAGATTAAAAATAATTGTTCCATTTAGTTCACTTTCATCATCTTGTTTTTCGTTGATCCGCCAATTGTTTTGATATGTTTAAATGATAAAACATATATTCCTTCATACGTTTTCACCCGTTGAGCACCTGTCAATATTACCTTTTACTTATTAATGTAGGGTCTAGCAGGGGTCCATAAAAAATTGAATTTATTAAATCTTGATATTTTTGAAGTTTACTACTGATGATCTACTAATGAATTGGTTATTTGAAAGGTAATTAGCATGATATATCTATTTTATTTGTCACTTTTTATTTCCCGAGACAGTAGTTAAATAGAGTGAATGCAATTGCCCATGAAGTGGAAAGAGCACGATACGTGTTTTGGATACCATGAAAAAATGGTAGGATAAGGTTGATATTAGCTAAGCATAAGAGCTTTCATTTAGGTGAATATAGTCTCTTGTATCATTAATTGTATACAGTATGTAAATTTATGGTGTGCAATTGTTTAAATAGCACATTTCCTCATACTCTGATGAGTCATAAAAGGCAATTTTCGAATAGGCAAGATAAGAAATAGACGCCGAATATCTTACGTCAACTATGTATCCGAATTGTCACATATTAAAGTGGATATGTATATACAGGGTGGTTCGAAAAAGTGAACCGCTGCAACAGGCTATATTTTCCTTATTACCGGCAAGAATCCTTTCATATTTTCACCTGTTGAACGGTTAAAACTGCTTCAGATAGTTAATGAAAGTGTAAAATGTGTTTCTGCTCAAATAGTGTCCCATTTGTAATATCGTAAGGTTTTAAACGTGTATCTCGCACTGAAAGCTGTTTTAAGATCATCCAGTTTGTTTCAACAATTTCCGTGAAGCCCACTGGTAAAATTTTGCACTCTTGCACAATATCTAATTTTCAGGCATGTTTGTTCAGTTGTTTAAGAGTTTGTAATTTCTTTAAAACTCAATACGGAGAATAAATTATGGAATCAACAAAAATGTATACCTTTATCTACAATGTGTGATAATATGAGCCAATTCATGCATGTATTAAGGAAAATATAGCCTGTTGCAGCGCTTCATTTTTTGGGGACCACCCTGTATATAATACTACCCTATATATTTAGACCTATTTATACCAATGTTGTCTACATATAGCAAGTCAATCCATGTAATTCCTTGTATTTTTAGACCTATTTATCCAAATGTGGTATATATAGATCATGTCAATATATAGATATATACATCGATCAAAATAAAAATTTCAGACTTATTCATCCTTAATTATCTTCTTCCCACTCCACATTGCCATGCTATGCAGTGACCACGTGGCTATATTAATGCCTATTTCATCCTTGATCTGATAAATAGACCCATCAATCAGTCTGAATGTTATAAGTTGCGGCAATGTAGCATCATCGATGGAAACGCCTGAGCCTCGAGTTATCCTTTAATCTTAGAAGAAGTAGGGAAATAGTTATTTGTACGCATAATTAAGTCATACATTCCGTGAATAATATCTTGAATCTTGAATTTGTGAAACGTAGTGTGATGGTGATGATAATGGTTGCGTGCAAGGGGTGATTCATAATTAGTGGAATTATTTCATGTTAGTGAAGTAATAGCATTTTCCTACTATTTATGAATCAACCCTCGTATATCAGATCTTTCCAACATGACTTTTTCATATTGTTTGCAAGTCGAGTCTATTGGCATTGCTGGTATCGTATGTTTATAAGTTTGTTATGTCACTGCCAGAAGTGCTATAGTCTCCATTTTTATAGACAGTGTTCGGCGGTTTGCGTTTGGTGGTCGGCGTCTGTAACAAATAGCAGGTAGTGGCATTTTGCATATTAATGGCTTGTTGGTTTGAAGTTGTTGATGAAGCGGCCGTGTGTTGCCAAATTGAGCAGTCACGTCAACGATCCCATTTTTCCCCTAATAGACTAGAATATCCGTTTAATGTGGCACGCTACATATATCATTTCCCAACTTAGTTATTTTGACTTGGGTTCGAGTTCGGTAGAATTTTTGTACATAATAATGTTGAACATGCATTACATATTTGGACCACCCTGTACATAATAATGTTGACATGCATTACATATTTGGACCGCCCTGTACATAATAATGTTTACATGCATTACAGAACAATATTTACCTTTACTTGTGAATGACATCGTAAGTGTTGCAGCGGTGAATAAGGATCTAAAAATATACGGTAAAACATTACTTTGATTTATTAGGTTTTTTTCTAGTGTTACCTTTATGTTTAATTAAGTGTTCTAAGATTCAATTAATAAGTTTGCCCAGATCTAGTTCTACGGTCGCTGTTCTTTACTTCCGAATGTTGTATTTGTACATTTACAGTTAGGCTTAAGGATCTTGATTAATTTCTTAAAACTCATCGTGTATTTCCTTGTACTCTTTCTATGTATGTATAATTTTGTAATTCTAGGTATTTACTTGTACTCATCATCAACATAGTAGCTATAGTTGAAATAACTTCAACCCCATTTTACGGAAAGCTATAGGGGACATGCGCATAATTCAAAATCGAATGGAGTTTTAACATGGGAGTGATATCACACACCGCGGCCCAGTCAGATAGATTTCATCGCGCACTGAATGAATTACAGGGGCCGCGTTTTGCAAAGTTAATTAAAATAAAGTGCGCAGAAATGCGGCATTCAGTGCGCGATGAAAAAATGATTATCTGTGAATAAATAACGAATAAAAATTCGTAGCACCACGAATTTGATTTTTTTCGAAAGACTGCGCAGTGAACCAGCGAAATGACAATTTTGGATAATATTGATGGCTCTAACGAGGAGAACTTTGAGATTTCCTGATTCTAGCGCGCAGCACATCCAGGACCATGATGCGCACTTTTATCAGATTCGATTCTAATATGGTTTCAAAGATAATGTTCATTAAAAGAGGGCGTATGCATACAGATTACATGTGGCGTTATGTTGAAGTGACCCTTGCAAAGGGTTCCATTGAAAATATATTATTTTGGGCCATTTCATATCTTTTAATTGATATTGTATAAAATATTTTCAATGTTTGAAAATTATAATCTTATAAATAACATTTTATGTAATAAAACTGTAACGAAATGGTAAATACGGAATATGATGCAATACAATGCAGTGCAATATGATGTTATACAATGCAGTGCAATATGATGCAATACAATGTGGTGCAATATGATGTAATACAATGCGGTGCAATATGATGCAATACAATGTAGTGTAATATGATGCAATACAAAGCAGTGTTATATGATGCAAAAAATGCAGTGCAATATGATACAATACAATGTAGTGCAATATAATACAATAAAATGAAGTGCAATACGATGCAATACAATACAGTGCAATATAATGCAATACAATGCAGAACAATGCAATACAATGCAAAACAATGCCGTGCAGTGCAATACAATGTAGTTCATTTCAATACAATGCAGTGCAATACAATACATCGCAGTTTAATACAGTGCAATACAATGTAGTGCAATGCAGTGCAATAAATGCAATACAGTTAGAATGTAGTTCATTTCAATACAATGCAGTGCAATACAATGTGGTACAGTGCAATACAATGCAGTGCAATACAATACATCGCAGTTCAATACAGTGCAGTGCAATACAATACAGTGCAATACAATACATCGCAGTTCAGTGCAGTGCAATACAATACAGTGCAATACAATACATCGCAGTTCAATACAGTGCCTTTTTGACAGTTATGGCAAAAAATCATGCGAAAAGTGCTAAGAATGGTGAAAAACTGCATGATTTTGAACGAATATTTGGCAAGGGGGAGGGGGGTGAGGCCCCCTGGCTACGGCCATGGAATACATATTGGAACTTTCCTTCTCCCAGAAGAAATGGTATACAGGTATTACATCAATCATTCTGGTATTTTGTATACGAAGGTCTGTAGTTACTTTATTGAAAGATGGCAGTGTACACTGTGTACTACCATTTTGAGGTCAGTTTGACTTTATAATTCTGCGCACTATAATCTGTAATTCTCATAGATATCCTCTCTAGAGGCATCACTGTGATCCAAAATTACAATTTCGCAGGTCAAGTCTGCAGTCTTTCGAAAAAAGTTGAATTCGTTGTGCTACCCTTTCTTGTTGGGCATTTATTAACAGAAAACTATAATTACATCGCGCCAGCATATACAAGCTTCAGCGCGATATTTTGAGTGTGTTAATAAATAAAGTGCGCAGAAATCGATCTTACTGGGCCGCGGTGTGCTATATCACTCATAAACAATTTTTAATTGCGCACTGAATGAATTACAGGGGGCGCGTTGTGCAAAGTGAATTAAATAAATAAAGTGCGCAGAAATATATCTGACTGGGCCGCGGTGTGTGATATCACTCCCATGTTAAAACTCCATTGAATTTTAAATTCTGCGGTATATCCCCTTTCGCTTTCCGTACCATTTAGGTAGCAACACAATAGAATAAACTGTATTTTATTTTAAAGAATGTACAGTTGTAACAAGAAGAGTGCATATTTTCTATTTTTTCATCCAAAATCGCACACAAGATGATTGACTGTCACATGACCGCTAGGCCTGACCTAAGGGCCGGTCCATTGGTCATTTGTCAGGTCATTTTTGATACGACCCAGTTGATTTTTATGGTAGGTATAGGAAAATAACGTTACAACTGGTCCGTAATGCCATTTTGACCAGATGTTCTCATAACCTTAGCTCAACCCACATGCAGGGCATTAAAGCTGATCTTATTACTCATTCAATATTTGAATAATAAACACAATAGAAATCAAATTTTAAACTGTACATGTCCTGTTGTTCACTGAAGCTGAACTAATCACACTCGCTCGCTTCCCAATACTCTTACCTCGTAGTCTATAAAAATGAATTGAATTTTTCTAAAATTGGACCATGGGTCATTTACCTTTCATATGAGTCAGTGTGGGGTTTAAGTCAGATAAACCATTCGTACTTGGTCTCGGGAAAACTAATAGCATCGCGCCAAGTGCGGCTATTATTCCTCTAAAACCCAGAACTCATACTTGATCCATAACATACCGAAAATTAAAAACGAGCGAGCCAGATTCATTTCTATCTGTGGCTTATTTTATTGATGAATATATAAAATTCAAACTCATTGAAATAATATTTCAAAGCGAATAATCCAAATCCTTATTAACAAGTTTATACATGTGTTGAATGTTGATCTGCACGTTGTATTGATTGATATTAATTGCTAATGGATGGTGTTGTTTACAGTACAGTAATGACACACTCCTCTCAAGCCAATAAAACATAATGGAATAGACTTGCACAATGAGGAAACAAGAAAAAATACAAACCAAACATCAGTCACTCTACTAACAACAATTAATGGCGGAGTGGAAATGTCCAAGATAAAATCCCGGGGATAAAATAAAGCACTGTTATTTACACTCAATAAACTTTACCAAATATGTCTTCATACGTAATACAAAATATCGAAAATAATCAAAATGGGACGGGGGTGATATGTATCTATAAGGTGGAACAAATTTACACGGATCCTTGAATTTGAAAAATGAACTCGGTAACTCAGTAAGAAACTGGATGTTAGTTACATCTCTGAAAGTGAAAACATTGGAAAGGAGGAGGTAAAGTATCGCAACAGATTTCAGACGGAGTGACAAAAAGTCAATTACCATGTCTTTTAGACATACTACCCCCATGCACGTTGGTGGCGTTGCACCTTTCTTATTAGATCTCATAAAAGCGTATATCGGTTAAAAAATCCAAGAACACCGAACATATAACCGTGCCGTGCGCTTATTCATTTAGCAATTCAATTGTAAACTTTCTCTTTAAAAAATAAATCTTCCAGATGTGTTGAATTTTCTTGCAGAAATCGCCCCCCCCCCCCTTCGTCATATTTTTCCGATCATCGGGCGTGGCTATATCATCAGTAATAAAATCTTATTCAGCATTTAGTTTTCTGCGCACGTTCAGACTCATTAATAAGATCTAGAAGTCACTAAATAAGCACGGTGATAAATCTAAAAGTATTTAACAGTTCGGTGATTCAAAACAGTGATAAATCTAAAAGTATTTAACAGTTCGGTGATTCAAAACAGTGATAAATCTAAAAGTATTTAACAGTTCGGTGATTCAAAACAGCCGGAATTCCTGGCATTGATTTATCTCACTGTTTTAAGTCTATGATGTAATTCTCAAAGTGAGTAGTCTTGCTTCAAGACTATAAGACCCCCCCCCCCCGTATGAATTTCACCAACACATTTGTGGGGGTGTAGTGGGGGGATTCACTGGCGGATCCAGAAGCTAACAGGGGGAGGGGCACATTTCAAGTCAGGAAAATAATTTTAGGGCCAATTTTTTGAAAATTTGGCCTTAAAACGCCAAGTCATGCTCAAAAAGGCACCTTTTTGGGGCCCTAAAATTTCTGGGCCCACCTTGATCCACCAGTGGACTTACAAGAGTAGGTAACTAGACTACAAGTCGATGTGATGGGCTAAATAGGTTCGAGTATAAACTTATATTGAGAATTATCTTATTTTCACTTACACTCCCGTCGACCTTTTTCCCCATAGGCTAATGTCTCTCTATGTCTGATTTTTTTTATTTTTATAACCTGCGAAGAAAAACTAATACTGATCGAGATGTAACTTGATTTTATTCCCTATATACCTCTTTTTCTAAAAAATCCTAAATTTCAATGTGTAGAAAATTGATGACAAAGATTAAATGTTGCTAAACTTATGGAGGGGGTGTTAATCAAGAGCCGAGTGTCTATTTGATAAACATTCTATTTTATCTTGTTGGCCTAATAGCCTTTCGAGGAGAACAAGTCTTGCATTTTCATTTGGGTGACAGTGAATCAAGAAATCCTTTTAAGTATAATTGTGGTTGACCACAATAACATCGATGAACATATTGTGTTGTGGGCATATTTGTAATTTGAGAAAAAAGATTTTATTAAAATGGAAATCAATGTTTCTGTTCGGTGCCTAGGAGCTTGTCATGAGTGAATTTCACTAATAACTTTTTGGAAATGCATTTGATTTTGATTTTAGTATACGAGCCACTTGAAATAATCAATCATGTTGCTGAATAAATTAGTGTCAACCACCATCTAATCTTACTTAAGCGATCTCCCGAATGAGATAACTTATTGTTTATAAATCAATTGTCTGAAAAAGGCAAATTGATTTATATTTAGTATCACGATTAGTTTGCAATAAATTAGCATGTTAGCATTATTTTCTACTTATTATATGACCTCATTGGAGTTTTGCAGGGGCGATAAAAAGAGGGTTGCGCAAAAACGGTAATGATGAATTCTCAAAGCACCACTGAGCCCATAAATCCATACTCACATTGTAATTACTCTAACTTTCAGCGTTCCAATCTGATCAAATAAATAGCCAAGTGGGAACGCAAGTAGGAACATTACGTTAACAGCTATTTGTCCCGTCAGTTTCAGCTGGATATCTTGTTCGTCACATTTAGGGTATACCTTAACTTCTTCATCGTAATAGTACAGCAGGTCGTCACATTCAGGCCTGTCGTCATCCGCACTTCGTTTGCCTATACTACTATATCTATCTGTAGTTCTATCATTGCTGGCGTTTGAATTAACGTGTAAAGCAACTGAATCTTGTTGTTCTAGCTCTATGGAGTCTATGGAAACATTTGCGTTGCAGAAATCGCTGAAAAATCCATTCTCTTTCAAAACAGGTATAAGGAAAGTCCACCCGTATAGAATTCCGGAAAAGAAGAAACATTCGAGTAGCGTCCAGATGAATTTAACCGCGTAGCGCCATGTTCCATTTCCACTCATGATGAATTAATCCTGAAATGAAAAAATGAATGTTACGATCTATTTAAATGTGCTGACAAATGTCAAGCATTACGCTGAATAAATAAGAAATAATGTCTCTTTCTCCGGAAGCACTGTTCCCTAGTAACAATGTAACCTATTCGCTTCCGGAAGAAGAAACGTACATGGATGAGTTATGTTTCACGACGCGTGGGGTTCAGGGGCACGGTGGCTAGGTAATTACAATACACTGAAGATGAAGTTCTCGAAAAGGGTAAAATATAAATGATACATGTACAACCGAAATCAAAACTTCACATTACATATATTACGCACCATGAATTAGTCCTAAAATGGAATGAATGAATTTTACATGATAGAAATGGTCCGAGGTCGGGACCAGCATAATGTAGCCCCTATGAAAAAACAACAACAAAATAATGTTGTCCCCTATGGAAAAAAATCATGCCGGTATGACGTTAATTTCAGCTACTGAAAGTGATTTTATAAAACTGCGTACACAAATGCGACGTAAAGAGTCATTCGCTAGTGTTAATGTCTCTCCATCTAGAAATTAGTAATAGTTTCATGACACAAGTTAGTTAAAGATTTACCTCTTAAACGATCATTTTAGACAAAAATAGCAAGTTTAACTTTTTCAAAAAAAAAACTTCTGAAAATGCACTTTGCCTCTTGTTCATTTAAAGCATTTTGGTAATGCTATCATATCCCTATTCCTGACACTTTTTCCTATCTAATGGTATATTCAAACCCCATAGGCGGATCTGAAAGTTAACTTCAAGGGGGTACATTTCATAAATATTGGGCCCCAAAATCCGGTCCCCAGATCCGCCAGTGAAACCCTGGGACGAATAGCGTAATTATTTTGTTGATTTGACTAAAATTACTCAGCGTAATTCTGCGTCTCGATCGAAGAACAAAAGACAATGTATGGTTTTAACGCCAGACTATTTAAAGTACGTCAAAGTTTATTTCTAACTGATAATTTAATTAAACTTGTTTTATCGTTTACATAAAGTTGTACATTGTATCATGTTAAATTCTTCTTCAATAATAAATAGACAATGGCGCATCCTGCTGTTATGTTTTGTTTAAATAAATCAATTGTTCATTATTGAAATAGCACTATATCACCAGAGTAATTATATTTAAGATCAGATGAACATTAGTTTTACGATTTATAGCCAATAATGTAATCCCATGGCATCGTGGCGGATCCGTGTAAAGTGGTCCGTAATGGACTATCCACTTAAGCCAAGTCAAAGATGATATTACACCAGTTATATAGGTGGGTTTTAACTCACATGCTGGCCTATAGTAATCAATCACTTGTCCGTTTGTGTGTCATCCCCCTAAGCAGGTATCCAGAAAACAATAAGTTGCACGTTTTAAAACCTTGGTCGGTAGTACTACAATAGTATAAGTGAATCTTTATAATGGCGGCCATTTTAAAAATAGGCAAACTTTTAAACCGGGGCCCGTTGGGGGATTTCTACCCTGTGTGCAGAGTCTAGTTAAACTACAAAACGAAGCTCTCTTTTAAGAAGTGAAGTGAAACGAATGCAAAAGGTAGGGGATTTCTGTAATAAAGAGGAAACTAGATAACGGAAAACGTGAATCCTAAGAGAAAGATTCAATTTTGGACCATATCAACCGTAGGCCTAAACGGTAGTTTTATGATAATTTTGTGAAAAAATCGGCAAAACATTATATCTGCTTTTTTATTATCGGTAATTTTAGCCATTATTCATTCTTCTCTTTTTGAGCAACACCATGTGAGCCCAGTACCCATGGTACTATTTGAATTTTATTGTGTAATAATTTCCATATACATAACACTCACATTGGTGAGAAAGGTCCATGCTCCGAGAGAATTACCCTCAAACACCCACCCCACCCACCTCGCTCTATATAACGTGTACCATCCTCTTCGTAGCTAGAAAACACACGTTTTGCCCAAGTGGGCTGCTGGCCGATTGGTAGTACTGTGTGGTAAAAATGGCAACCCTAAATTTCTCTCATATCATTGACATTGTAGGAAATCAATCTCCGATATTTGGCACATTTTACCCTTCACTGCTTTGCATTCGTTTGACTTCATCACTTCGTCTTCGTAGTTTTACTACACTCTGCACGCAGGGTAGGCACATTTGTACATCATTCAATTTTCTGATATGAGGAAAAATTAGGGTTATTATTTTTACCACCCTGTAATTAATGCGGAGACGGAAACTAGATACAAGACAGCAACTTTCGTTTTATTTGAATACTACGCGTAGACTAATATGTCATAACACGTATAGTCTATAATATTATTATCCAATATTATGTAAGTACTCAGTATTTGGTTAACAATTTTTGATGAATATATGTCATTTATGAACTTAATAGTACAGGTCATAATACTGAACCTTGTTTTACGCCGTTTTACATTTAAAACTCAAGTTAAATGTCAGTTCATCAATAAAGATTCATTTCAAAGTCACTTCTTGAGGTTTCTATGCAGTTTTCATTAATATGTTAGAGGATCTTGAGATTCTAATAGAAATCGGCAAAATCTGGCGGCCATTTTGAATTTTTTCCAAAACGAGGCTCCGGATCACTTGCTGCCTCGAGCCATTTTATTTCAATTACAATCAGCTACACTTGTACCAATTTTGGTGCTTCTATCATAAAAAGAATTATTGGGAGGGTTTTTCAAGTGATTCAGCCTAACTATAAGTATTAATATGGCTTCGAGACCATACATTCTGACATCGTTACGACACAATAAACCACCGTTACCTTGCTTATTAAAAATCGCAAAAAGCCACGTAGCCTACAATTTAAAAGTTCGGAACACAAGTTCTTATATTTTTCTTCGATACTTTTAAAATTATGAAATACTCAATTTACAGACTAGACCAGGCTATAACAGGTGAGGTAACGTATCCAATGGGAAGCGAGGAACCGAAATTTTGAAGAACTTTTGAAGAATATTTCCGCATGTATCGAAACGTTGATAAAAAAAATCATTTTACTCAAAAATGATAAGGACCAGAATTTCAAAATGAGCACAATGAAACTACAAAAAACAGTCCCTTGCCAAATCGTTGCAAAACTACAAAAAGTAGTCCTGAACATAAACCACTAAACAGATATACCTGTTCTATCGAAATAGACAATTTTTTATATCAACATGTAAATTATTTCATCATATCAGAACCTTTCAACTATAAGCGCTATAACAGTCTTTAATTGTACCTGACTAACGTTTAATTGTAATGACACAACAAAAGTAGCCAAAACATTTCAAAAATAACCACAAATGAAGATAGCTTTAGCATTCACTTCCAATGTTTACAAGTTAAACGATTAATATCGGAAATTGTATGTTTATTGGTAATTTAGCTGTTGATGGTAATTATGGGTAATATATTCCTCCTTTCCATATTATAGATACTTACGTCTCAAGAGAAACAGACCATTCCAAACATGCATTAGTATTTCTATTGTTCATAAATCAGGGTGTAATTGAAGTCTAGGGATGATATGTGCCCATACAGAGAGTGGATTATCCATTTATATAGAATGTATACAGATAATCTCACGAATAGGCGATCTAACAACACATTTTATTGCTTCACTTGATTATAACATGAAATACTACGTCGTAAAGAAGTAGTAATAATTGTCGCCACTTCAATTGAAAATCCTTTTAATCAAACTTCAGTGCGCCCCTTAGTAGGCATTGTTTAGTTGATATTATTTAAGGATTTAAGCCCTGGACCAAGTGCAATGCGCAATGCGGAATGGCCATTCCTTGAAGATGTTTCTTTCCAAAATTTGCATGTTGATTTTTGAGTGTTAATTTTAGGGCTTTTTAGGAAACTACGCCTGAAAGGAATGATCATTAGACAATGCATTGAGTTTTAGGCTTTAATTCTTTTTATACATTGCAAAATATTTCCTACAAAATCATCTACAGGGTGACCGGAAAAAAAGGAGACCATTGAAGTAATCAATTTCTCCTAAACTAGACAAGTGCCATCAATGAAATTTTGCATACACTGGAACAGTTATATGGAAATTTGTTACTGAAGGTTTCAATACAAGCATTCAACTGGTTCAGGAGCTATGATCATTTACATAACATGCTCCAAATAGGCACAATTGAGACTAACGCAGAGTTGGATTCATATGGCAAACTACCCTTACATGTTCTGCCCTCTATGGCATTATTATGGCATTACATATAGCAGTGATTGCCTTCTTTAGGTCAACAATAGTCTGAGGATTGTTTTGGTATAGATTGTCTTTCAAATATCCATACAAAAAGAAATCAGCAGGATTCAAGTCTAGGCTGTAATGGCAATGAAGGGTTATCTGACATGTGGTTCATCATCCTGTTGCCAAAGTGCTGATTTACCCAATCTTAAGAGTCACTTTGGGTATTGGGCATAGTGCCATGTTACTAAAACCACTATATGGCACAATTAAATCCCATATGGAAACCAAGGGCTGCCCAAAACCTCCTTAGGATGATACTGTAACTGAGTGGGACCACTGAGTCAGAAGCCATAGGTCAGATAAGCTTCGTCTCCATACACCTCAAATTTGAATCCACCTGATTTCTTTTTGTGGGGCAATTTGAAAGACAATGTGTACCAAAACAATCCTGAGACAATTGCTGACCTAAAGGTGGCAATAAATGCTAAATGTAATGCCATAACAAGGTCGGAATATGTAAGGGTATTTGCCAAATGTATCCAGCTCTGCGTTGGTCTCAATTGCGCCTATTTGGAGCATGTTATGTAAATGATCATAGCTCCTGAACCAGTTGACTGCTTGTATTGACACTTTCAGGAACAAATTTCCATAGAACTGTCCTGATGTATGCAAAATTTCATTGATGTCACTAGTCTATTTTAGGAGATATTGCCTATTTCAATGGTCTCCTTTTTTTCCGGTCACCCTGTAAAAGATACGAAATTACTAAATGAACATATTTTCAATTACACTTTTTGCAAGGGTCAAGTTGGCAAAGTATCAATTTCAATATGTAGAGTCCAGACAGCACCCTGACAACTAGTGACCTTGAGTTCGTTATTGGTCATATAACGGAATGCAATTGCGTGAAATAGCGTGTTCTCATTGGCTATGTGTGAATTATCTTTTGAATTCTTAAAATATGTTTAGATTTCAAATTGAATTGGTAATAAAAAGGGGTGTATGGACACCTTACACCGACACATATTGCGAAATTGAAATACTTAGACTAAAGGCTTAGACTTAGGCAATACTACTAAAAATCTATAACTCATATAGGTTACTTCCTCTACGAAAAGGGGTATATATTACACTGTACGTCTTTATTAGACCGAGTATTATAGATAGATAGTACTAAAAGTGTAAAATGGCAAATATAATAGTCATAAAGTCTCGCGTATATCACGTGACCGGATACAACGTTGAGCTAGTTAATTTCTTGATGGGCGAGACATGACATGAAACCATTGCAAAATCAACGCTAAGTCAATCATTATTCGATATTATTAATTTACGCAGTAGTCCAATGTCATACAAGGTGAGTTTGTCTTCTTGTACCTCCCAGGCCCGTAGCCAGGGGGGTTCGCAGGGTTCGGGCTCCTGGCCAAAAATTCTTTCAAAATCATGCAGTTTCTCACCATTTTGAGCACTTCTCAAGTGATTTTAGCCATATTTGGGGCAAAATTGTCAAATTGAACCCACCCTGGAATTTTTTGAAAACTGACCCCCCCCCTTGGCAAATCCTGGCTACGGGCCTGCCTCCGTAACTTTAAATGAAAAGGGCCCTGGGATATGTAATTTTCATCTGCTTCATTCGTATCTGTATAAACTATAATCTAGTATATGTGAGTAAATTGACAAATTTATTTGTAGACAGCGAGATGCGTTGGGCTGAGAATATGCACGGGTGTTAAGCCACGATGATACCGTGAGCACATTTTTTGAGGATCCGCGTTGTTTGAACCTACCGCCGAGCTAACTTATACATCAAGACCCGTTACACAGTCATGATACCGCCGAGCAAGCTCATTGTATCATCGGGTCTGCTTTACCCCCGTGATATGTGACAGTGACAATATATAACTCATGCTGTATTATAAAAATCCAGGAAATGCCAGTTAAGCTTATGCACAAGTGACAAAAATAACAAAGATAAATATTAAATACGTGATGTGCATTAACTTTGGGGGGGTTATCTGCTAAAACACACTAAATCGTGTATAAGTACGGGGGTTGTTCAATAGATATCCGAGACTAACATAAAAAGAATTAAAATGAGAGCATTTGTATCAAGATTTATTGAAAACTACTCGTAAAATGCTCCTAGATGATGATGCGATCTGTGTCCGATTGAAAACTTGTGTTTCAGATTTGAATTGTATGAAATATGCGAACCAAATATTAATGCTACAAAGAGAAATTGAACCTGTAAGCCTTACTATTTATGTATGTTTTTCTGTTTTGAAAACTTCAATGCTATTCCCATGCTTGTAGAACTTAATTTGACTGTCAATGACCATTTATTAAGCAGTAAAAATAATTTGCTGCATGGGTTACAAAATGTTTCTAGTTTCCTGTTGAATACCGTGTCTCGCATCATACGAATGTAATTTTATGCAATCTGTTTGCAAAGGGTGTATATGGATGAGGGACGTACCTGGAGAAGTTTTTACTTTTCGTTCATCACTTTATTTAGTTCAAATATTTCTGGCGGATTATTGTAAGACTGACACTTTTAGTTAGTGTATCAAAAGGTGCAAGAAAATGATGAAAAACAGCTCCTGCTACCCCCATCCATATTTACTTAATTTGCTGTAAAAAAAGATTTAAAAAAAATCCAGAATTTTATAATATTTTGTCATTATAGACATACATATTGCTTTCAATTCCTGAAAATTAAATCATCCCCTTACAAACAAGAAAATGAGGGCACGTGTTACGTATCAGAATTTTTTGAAAAAGCCCTCGTAGAATCCTCTTTGATACATACCATACGATCGAGATCCGAGGGTTTGCACGTGCATACTTGTTTGATTCTTTAATCATGGAAATGAGCACCTTACAAATCGAAAGAGCCTTCCATCGACTTAACCTTGAATCTATAGTTATTAGATTTGAGATGTGAAATAAATTGAAAATATCTAAATCTAATAATATACCAATTCAAAGGACTATCATTGAGTATAACTAGATTGATGATAATGACAGTAATGGAAATGTGAATGAATATCAGATGTTGTTTAAACATAACAGTAAAGCAATAAATTAGATTAGTCTGGGACACAAAAAGCAGTCGGTCGTAAAGAAAAAGTCCCCAGGATCCTGAGATCGATTTGTTTGGAAGACCAATCGGTCATAAAGAAAAAGTCCCCAGGATCCTGAGATTTGTTTGGAGGAGCAATCGGTCATAAAGAAAAAGTCCACAGGATCCTGGAGATTTGTTTTGGAGGAGCAATCGGTCATTTTAGCAATTTTAGCAATTTAGGATTCTAAATTTTGGAGGAGTTATCGGTCATGAAAAAAGGTCCCCAAATCCCGATGATTTGTTTTAAAGAAAGTAGAACTTTTTCTCTTAATTAAAATGCACCTCTCATGATCAATGTAGGTATGATTAATTTGGATATTTCTTTTAATTTCTATACATAGACTGGACAAGAACTGGTAAGTATTCTCAGTCATGATCAGACAAGGTCGATAATGTTTTTCTCGTCCACCCTATGCTTAACAACTAACTAGACTAACTAGATTTACAAAAATCATTGAAACGAAAAGATAATCATTTACAATCTTGTTACCAGCCTGTCACCAATAATCCTACATCAGTTATTAATCAAAACGATATTGTCAGCGTGTGTAAATCTAATAAAATAGAACTTAAGAAGATATGGACTCTTGGGGACGATTGTGATCGATGAATTGTATCGTGCCATATCGATGTTTTCCCCACACTATCGGGTGTCCGAAAAAATTGTATTCAAATGGAGCAAGAATAAATCTTTCTCCTTTATCGAAAAAAAGCTAAATATTCTACATGATAAAGAGAACTCATGCAATATTTCAAACATGAATAATGGGTGGTGATACTAAATCGAATTATCTAATCTTTTAGATCTTTAGATCTACAGGGTGGGCAATAAAAAACGGATCATTCTGTATCATTCTACAAGATATAATATTACGTGGCTCATCCCCAATGTTATGAAAATTGTGATTGTTTTTAATTGTGATGTCTCAATTCACAATTCATGAAAAAATGTTGTCCAATGTGTTTGCCCTGTATATTCTTTATATGATGCCCACATTTCAAGAATATTCTTTCATACATAAAACCCATAGAGTTATTCAAAGTTTGTGTCGATACAAATTTTGCGACACTCTGTATATTTTGTAGAACTCTAGACATGTTTTTATTTCCTCTAACCTTGGACAAATAGTTTAAACATATCAAAACGGAGAATTCCGAGATATCATTTTTTGATTGAAACTTTCGCATCGATGAGAAAAGAAGATTGTTTGGATCCAAAAATTAAGACAGGAGACCACTATCGCCATAGATCACTGTCCTCGCTCCTTGGGTATAAAGGTCTCTACGAACACCAATAAAAAGCATTTTCGGGAACGATGACGTGCTCTGTTATTGAAAAAGAGGTGCACCAGCTTTATTAGGACACCCAAATATACGTGCCATTGCATTTGTTCGCCCGGTGTAAAAGGGTAGGTGGTCCTATCAAATTTTGGTCCTACCTCTCTATTGATTTATATGGTGACCTACAATTATTTTCTTTATTATTTATACACAGTCAGGGCCAGTAAGGGCCGTAAGGAAATGGGACTATAATCCCCAGGGGACCATAATTTATTTTACACCTGGACTAGAACATCTCGTGACTTGTTTTGAATTGACGTGTAACCTGTACATTTTGATTTCCTAAACTCCGAAGACAGGGTATGAAACCCATGATAATAATACGATTATTGTGATTGGTACTATTGTTTATATTAATCCTTTTTTAGTGGTGCAAGTGTATTTACTTTTTGGATAGAGCACTCCAAACGCAGGAATGCGATTCGGAATAGTTCCTTTCTTGGAAAAAAAAACACTTTTTGTTGTGAGTTATAGTCATGAATTCTGAGATCAACGAATAGTATTAGGAAATACAGCCTAATCAAAAATAAACAAATAATCTTCTTTTTCTAACAATGACTCATTCATTATATTGTTATCGTATTATATTATGAAAAGAAAATAATACTCAGAACTTACCAAGAATATGTTTCGCCAATTAATGAACGTCTCCAATATTCTTTGATCTTTTCCTGACTACGCTAATCATCCAACTGGCGAAAAGTATATTTGATTGTCCTATAAAATCATCTCTCAGCAGATTGAATGTCTATCATAGCACGTTCACAGCTTCAGTGAAGTCCTACGTTAATGAAACAAAACTAATTGTCTCGTACATCAGCTCTATATTAAACAAGTAAACGCGCTAATCTTGCATTTCGCCATTGTTCGTTACTAACCTCTTTGTAAGTTACTAACGAATTTATCTCAAATTGTAACCAGGACAACCGTTTCATCAAAGTACGATTGCATATGATACGCAGTTGTGTATTTTAGATTGTCTTTATAAGAGGTCTGTAATTAAGTTTCTCAGCGTCATAAGAGCAACAGAACTGTCTTGAAATTCAACGTCTGAAAAGCATCTTTCACGATTGGACGTTGCTTCTTCCGCAGCTCAGCTTGGCTACGGAAAGAAGTGAGATACCTTTTTGAAAAGAACATTGCTAGAGATTCACCAGATTATTTTTACGGATTCTCGTGATATTGTCATATGCATATCCATACTTGTATATTGTTATACAGTTATATAGTTTTTACCACGTATGAAGGTGAACAATACCTATGCCGTAGCTGTAACGTTTCACGCATTACAGGGTACGAGTCGTAATTATCCCAACGAACGAAGTTCGGTACTGGGATATAGTTTTCTCCATATTTGGTGGAAAGATGTATATTGGTGAATAGTTTTACGCAAAAAAAGATTTTTCAAGATGGCCGCCGCTTTAGAAATGGCGGAAATTTTTCGCAAAAATTTTATATTTTTTATTTTAAACCAAAGTAACAAATATTATTATTTGAAATTTTGGTATTATATTCACAAAATATATCTATTTCACATATGTTCCGTGTTCCTCATTCTGACCCCCAGGGGCCGTGAATTGGGAAAACAGAAATTTGCGTTAATTTTGAGATGTTTTTGAAGTATAGCTTTATTATACTCAAATGAAAGGCCTCAGAAAATTCAAAATGGCAGCCTATGTGGAATTTCGCAATAATTTTCTGATCTCTTAGAAGTACATGTATGTCTATATTATACTCAAATTGAAGGAATTTTAGAGTAGATCACGAATATGGTATCGTTTTTCTGATTTGTGCCTCGGAAAAATTCAAAATGGCTGCCTAGAGCAGGAATTCGCCATTACTTGAGATATCTTTATGTATGGTTACATCATACTACAATGATTCCAAGTGTTTATTGAAGGGAATGGTAGATGGTAAATATTACATTGTGAGTACAGATTCATGATTTATTTAGTCTTCGTTTGGATTTGCTAGACTCAATGCATTGTTTGCTGAATCATACCATGAAGGTGTTGTTTCCAAACCTTTGCATTACCGCACAGGTGGGAATGCAAAGTTTAGGAAACAACGCCTGAGTGGAATGAAGCAGCTACAATGCATTGAGTCTTGGGCTTAAATTCTTTTCACATATGATATTGCAATTTTTTCTATAAATCATCTAAAAGGAACGAAATCACTAAAAGAACACATTTTAAATGAAATTTTTTGCAAGGGTCAAGTTGGCAAGTCATCAAATCCAATGTGAAAAATCCATTCGCTAAAACTAATGACCTTGCATGTGTTATTGATATTTCACACGCAGTTCATTATGTGAATACTCTGTTCGGATTGGCTGGAATCTGACACACCTTGCCTAGCTATGCGCGAATTTCATTTTAAAACATTATTCAATTTCCAACAAGCCTACATACTTCATAACCATCAGACTGATAGTCACAATGTTACAGCACTTTGAACAACATGCTTCAGGTTTTGGCCATCATCGCGCTGTAGGCAAACATGCACAGGTGTCAATGATCCAAATGCATTCCTCAGCAGCTATGACCTTAATGACACGGATGATCTCAATTTTGAGGTCTGCAGTTGTCTTATGGTCATTCTCATACACTATCTTTTCCGTATTCCCACGGGTATAGACATCGGGTAGGGACATTTTGAACGACGTGTGCAGGTTTGCCTACAACGCAATAGTGGCCACTGGAGCATGTTCTTTTAAGTGCTGTAACATTGTGACTATCTGTCTGATGGTTATGAAATATAGTGGGCCGGTAGACATTGAATGATGTACAAATATATAAATTATGAGGGAGTTATTTCCTAAAATGACAAAGATATTATACTCTTTTTACCACCCTGTTCAATGAAAGTCAGGCCCGTGAACTCCTCCGTCACTGGAGATCAACTGGAAGCGAAGGCATTTCTGGTCTAGGGGTCAAATCCGGGCCACTTCATCACAAGTAGATAAAGTGTCGTCAGACAATACATGAGAAGGGATGTCACATATGCTAAGATATTAAGGCTACCTAATAAGTCATCACCCAAGTAAAATGGCATAAACGGATGTTCTTGAATCATATATTTTAAATAAAAAAACAAGTTTACAAGATTGGTTTCCTAGTAATAGGTACCCTTTGCATTTGTTCGATTTCGAGGTTCATATTCAATTAGTTGTTTACTAGACTCTGCGCGATATACCCAATGATATTACTATACTACGGAGGATTGGCAGCCATTATTCAAACTCAATACCCTGTTGGCTACAGTGGAACAAATTAGTCAAAGTATTTCTATAAGGTTCTCTTTGGACCAAATATTTCGTTGAGAGATGGTCATTACGAGTATTTTGGTAGTACCCAAGCTTCCTCAGCGTTCTAGTCTTCAAAATATGAGTAAAATTGTTACCAAAATGGTCTACGCCAGGCAACGGAGTATCGAATTTGAATGGCGGCTTCTAATCCTCTTTGCTCAGATACTTTGGTTTCTGCTCCTGTTCTCACGATATCAGCGGAAGAGTACAGTAAGAGCGGTTGGCCTAATCACCGATTGCACTTCGGTTTTTCATATCAAACGATGTGATAAACGAAATCCGCATATGAAGCACAAATTATATCCTCATTTATAAGAGTGCACTTCATCGTCAGTTGAATAACTTCTGAAGAGTTTTAACATGAAACAGGAAATGAAGGACAAATTGAAACCATAGATAAGGATAAGAAGAATTAAATAAATCTATGATTACGTTTGAGCTTACGACAATAGCTTACACGTGAATAAAGATATTTAAAAAAAGGTGGAAGCAACTATGTAAACCGTATAACGTTTCTTCTGCATTTTAAGTTGGTAGTTTTTCCGCATTAATTGGTCAAAAAGAGAGGATCGGCATTTTCCGTCAGATTGAATCGGCAAAATTCGGTTGTATGGCTTACCTTCGGTTTTATGGCTTACCTTCGGCTACATGGCCCAAACTCGATTGAATGGAAAAGATGCTGTCCCAAATCAAAAGGATACGATGAAAACCTGACAAAACGAGGTATATCCAGAATTATGGCAATGTCTATACTTTCTATACATTGTCTATACTTTCTATACTTTCGATCTCCTTTTTCATACCATCTGCCTTCGACGTTTCTATACTTTCTATACTTTCGAACTGCTTTTTCATACCAACTGCCTTTGACAAATCAGATGTCTATAGTTTCTATACTTTCGAAATGCCCTTTCATACTAACTGCCTTTGACAAAGCAGATGTCTATAGTTTCTATACTTTCTATACTTTCGATCTGTTTTTTCCTATAACTGTCTTAGACAAATCAGATGTCTATAGTTTCTATACTTTCTATACTTTCTATCTGCTATTTCCCAGAACTGTCTTCGACATATCAGATGTCTATACTTTCTATACTTTCGATCTGCTTTTTCCCATTACTGTCTTCGACAAATCAGATGTCTATAGTTTCTATACTTTCTATACTTTCGATCTGCTTTTCCCCATAACTATCTTCGACAAATCAGATGTCTATAGTTTCTATACTTTCTATACTTTCGATCTGCTTCTCCCCATAACTGTCTTCGACAAATCAAATGTCTATAGTTTCTATAGTTTCTATACTTTCGATCTGCTTTTCCCCATAACTGTCTTGATTCAGAAAGTGACCAAGAAACTTTTGACGTCACATATTGTTTTACAATGTATAGAAAGTATCGAAAGTATAGAAAGTATAGACATAGGGAATTCACCAAAATCAAAAGTATAGACAGTATAGAAAGTATAGACATGTATAGACTTTAGAGAGTCCAATCGTCTAAGACTGAAAAAAGTATCATTTAAAAAGCAGTTCGAAAGTATAGAAAGTATAGAATATGCCATAATTTTGGATATACATGGACAAAACAAGGTTCATCAAAGAAATAATATATTTTTTTACTTCCTATATTGGGTGTGAGAACTTAAAAGTTACCATAGATCTCTGGGAAACAAATGTTGCAACTTGAAAAACAGAAACTAAATTTGCATTCTAGGCTATAGCTCAATATATTTGATGTGTCATGTTTCTTTCATTCTGGGAGTCATAAATCTTGTTACTTTAGAAAGGGAACGAGTCAAGGTCGTTTCTTTTTAATATATTCATCACATTTTTCGTGGATTAAATTCATGGATCTCATCTCGTATCTGGTAATACTATTGTTAGTTTTACCAAGACAGATGAAAAATGGACCAGATTATGGCTTTGTAGAGATCCCAAACTTAATCAATTTATGATAAATGATGTAATTATCTTGATTCTCATTGGACGTTGTACAAGGTCAACTATCCAGTGCTGTACCGTAGGGCTCTTTTGAAGTCCTAACAATCATACAGCGTTCATCAACCTTCGTGAAAACATGGGCTTTCAAGAAATGGTGCAAACATACCTTTCTTTAAGTAATAAAAGATCTAGCCACGGAAACAGTTTCAACCCTAAAGAAACCAGTTTCAACCTTCGTGAAAATGATTTCAGCCTTGACGAAAACGGTTTCAATCATCGAGAAAACAGTTTCAACCTCCGAGAAAACAGTTCCAAACTCCGAGAAAACAGTTCATACCCTAAAGAAACCAGTTTCAACCTTCGTGGAAATGATTTCAACCCTAACGAATATGGTTTCAACCATCGAGAAAACAGTTTCAACCTCCAAGAAAACAGTTCCAATCTTAAAGAAACCCGTTTCAACCTTCGTGAAAATTATTTCAACCCTGACGAAAATGGTTTCAACCACGAGAAAACAGTTTCAACCTCCAAGAAAAAAGTTCAACCTTCGTAAAAACAGTTTCAACCTTGGCAAAAACGGTTTCAACATTAGAGAAAACAGATTCAACCTCCGAGAAAACAGTTTCAACCCTACAGAAACCAGTTTTTACCTTCTTGAAAATAGTTTCGACGCCGAAAACGGTTTTAACCTTGACGAAAACAGATTCAACCTTGTCGGTAACGAACCATTTGTCCCTTTAAGCTAATGAACATACATGTAGATACTTTGCTTCAAAAG